GGCGGGGCGCCCATGCGTCGTTTCACGCAGACCTTCGTGCTGGCCGCCCGCGGGCAGGCGGCGGGCGGCGGCGGAAAGTAGCCGCCCGAAGTGTTCGGCTGCGTGTCCTCCTCCTCGGCGTCGGACCGGCCGGATCCGTCGCCCTCTTCGTCGGAGAAGACGATGTCCTGGTAGCGGAAGATGTCGTTGTGCACGTAGTACTTCTTGGGCGACTGCGCGGCCAGCACGAAGGTCTGCGTGAAACGACGCATGGGCGCCCCGCCGTTGGACAGCTCGCCCGTCACCTGCACCACCACGCCTTTGCCCAGTGTCGCTTGCGCGTCCACCTGGCTGATTTTGGCATGGCAGTCGCGAAAGTTGAGCTGCTGGATGCGGTTGTGGATCTGCTTCTGACCGACGACGGGCAACGTCTCGCGGTTGGGTGCGTCCAGCCCGCCGTGCACGAACGACGAGTAGTTGTTGTAGAACCTGTGCGAATGACACGACGCATGCTCAGCAACGTATCCCCGACATCGTGACGGCCTTGTTCAAGACGCGCCAACGAGTCGTGAACAAGAGCACAACAAAAAAAAAATAAAACATTGTTTCCACTGAGCTCCAGTTGTAATGATTTTTGGAAAAAGGATGTTTTTCAAATGAAATGATGATGAAGAAAAGCTCAAAGTCATCACAATACACCATTACATAAAATATTTACATAATACAATAATATTATTCCACTTTATTAAATAAGCACATATTGAATACAGAACAGGTGAGGTATATGACGTCATGGTTTCGGTACTGGGATTCGGCTGTCCACATTTCAAAACATTCTTAAGTGGAATGAACTCGGATAGAATGAATTTTATTTCATGAACAACGTACAATGATCAAAACATATAAGTAACAAATTTACTTATAACAATAGCCTAATTTCAAAACTTTCTTACGATAAAAACGTCTAATTGCCACAGTATGCATTATCCACAAGATTAGATATTTAAAATATTAGGAACAACTCTTGCGTTTATGGGTGTTGGTTATACACTATAACGTAATGTTCAATTTTAGATATTTCTATCGAAATGTAATTTAAGCTGAACTGTCACAAATTGAATTAATAAAACATTGTAGTTATTTCATACGTTGCACTCAACCAGAATCTGCTTTTCATTGCCCGTGAGTGTACTTGGGTGATTACAAACACGGCCCCAACTATACGACAATAAAATGTAATCTCAATAAAATAAATTTATGGGTACATATATTTTAAAAAATTGCATTCATTATTTCAACATTGACACTGACTCTAATGGTGACTGATGTTTGTTTTGACAATTGTAAGAAATGAGTCACAAATGTAAGAACAATGGGCATATTCCGTTTAGGAGCGTCCCTGAAAGAAAAATTTAACAATGAGTGATACAATCCTTCATGTAGGATTTATCAAAGGCTTCTAACCAGGGTACAACATGAAAGTTGACAACAATTATGAAAAATATGGTTATTTATAAGCTTGATTATAAAATCACAAAATATTTTCAGTCATCTGGATACTGAATCTCGTATACTACCACTGCAAGATACTTCTAAAGACAGAAATGGTCTTAAATTATTATTATTTGCATACAAACAAAAAGTTTATCGTATTTGTATTAAATCTCTTCTTAGATAACAACACTTATGCCTTTGTATTCCTATTAAGGTAGGCATTCGATACTCACTTTGCATATTCTGGGTAACCTCTTTTGCTCCACTAACATTCATGAATCTTTTCTTACAAATCTTCCTGTTTCCTTTTACCTTTTAAAATTCATTCCCGATTTAATTTGATCGTTCTTCGCGGCCGTCCTCTTCCCTGTTGCCTTCAGTGTTTTCTCTATTTATCTATTTCGCTATTCTGCTTTCAATCATCCACTCCAAGTGCCAAAATCACGCCAACATACCTTTCTCTATTATTGTCACTACGACGTCCTCTTCTTAGATATTTTTTAAATTGTGCATGATGATAAACCTCACAACACTCCAGTTTACTATTCAAGGTAGTTGGTGGAATTGTCTGATAATAGTTTTCATCATAAGAAAGATTCGCCGAAATGAAAAGAACACGTCTTGCTAAACACCACAGCAACTGTTGAGGGCCTTAGAGGGTTTCGTCTATTGTAATAAATATTGCTTTAACAAAATTGCAACTTTACGAAACATAAACATTAATTAGCATATAAATAATTATTATTTTTCATAACGAGTCTTGGCACTGCTGCACTGTCGAATTCGAATTTTCGTTAATGATGTTTCACAGCTCAAATTGATTAGGGAAAGTATAGTATCTCTATACATCAACATAAATGGGAATAATATTATAGAAGTTTCGTTACGAGCTCACGTCAATGAATCGCGGTGGACCGATAAACCTACTCAGGTTTTTGTTGTACCGCTACGTTTTAATTTATAAGTTTTATTTTTGGAAATATTTTAATAATAAAAAAAAAGTGAATTCAACAAATACATAATATAATATAGAATAAGAAGCACATGAAAATGAGCCGTACCCACATCAAACAATAGCATTAAATTCAGATGAGACAAACATTTGCCATTTCACTGACTCACTGTCATCTTATCTAGTGGCAAGATAACGGGTACCGGCTTGCGTTTCTCATTGCGTCGTTGAATCATGATGATTAAGCGAATGACATTCATTGGTTTTAGTTCTGAATTAATCAAAACACCAATTTGAGAAAACGGGATACTAATTGACCAGTGTGTAGTAACTGCAAACTATTAATATGGGCTTAGCAAAATAAATATTCTATATTTAGAGCAGTTACGTAGTTACTTCGTTTAGACCAGATCGAATCGCATAAAAAAAAGTTTTGTAAAAATTTCTTTTTATTTTGCTGACTGTACCATTTTTTCAAAATCTGTGAATGCCAATCAAAATATCTTCAAAATTCATGGATAGTCTTCTAGAACCGTTTTCCTGTAACTACAACGATTAAGGTAGCTGGCCTTGCTGCCCAGTCTCAAATTTACACCTTGTATATGTAGCTATCACTAGATACTAGATATGGTGTGTTTTCTGCAACATTTCGTCGCCTGTGGTGTGTAAGTAGTCAAGCAATGTGGTACTGAGAAACGACCTGTGCAGATGGGCGGGCGCCTTGTTGAGCAGCGTGTAGTACTGGCGGACAAACTCGCGGCCAACGCTCTGCGGGGACGGGGACGCCTCCATTACCATCGCTGTTGTAACACTGCGCCGATACAGCCCTCTGCAATATGCTGCCCTGCAACATGCATTCAAACAATTTTTAATTTTTTACATGCCACAATAATGCAGCATGGGCATCATACATAAATGCAGCATGGCCACAACAAAATATGCTAAGCGTGAGTCCTTCCAGTAACAATGATGTTTGTTATCAATATTGTTTGTTTATGTATTTTATTTAATACACTTTTTGAACTTTCACTATATTTCCTAAATAAACTTTATAAGTACCTATCAGCTTGAACAACTTCATAACCCCTGACATGCTCCTATGATCTCATCTTTTCAGCAGCATCACTGGAATAAGTTTGATGCCAAATCAGGACAGTCAAGTGTGAATTTTTTGTTGTGCCATATGTTATGCTGGCTATGTACATATTATGTAAATGCTGAATCTAGATTCAAAAAACATTATTCTACATATGGACACCAATAAAATGACTATGCTCTATATTCCCTAAAAGCATGCAAATTGATTATTTATAGTAATGTCTACAGTACTAGATCCACAAATGAATAGTTATTTAATCAATTTCTAGTTATGCAGATTTAGTGTTTCTCAACAATAAATAATAATAATAATAATAACGCACACACTCAACATAGCCCCGCACAAGGGAAACCCTGTGTCGCAGGTGCCATGGACACACACACATAGACAACCACAAATTACACCCAAAGTCACAAGATAAATAAATTTTGGCCATGCAAATATTACTCCCGGCCCGGGAATCGAACCTGGGACCTCTGCGTGGCAGTCCGGCATGGTAAGCTCAGGGGTACCCATAAAGATTTCCCCCGTCAAAAAAAAAAAAAAAAATCCGGCATGGTAACCATTCGGCCACCGAGTGTTTGCATTCCGGTGCTCCTGAACCAGTTAAATGAAAATTAACGGCCTGCAATTGTACATAATATATCACTATTCATTTCCACACATTGCTTATTACATTGGATTTGTTTTTTTGCTGGAGGATAAACAAAATTTTTTTGAAGTTATATTAATAATCACCCAATATTCATGTCACTGTAGTGCAGAGTATTTATAGCACTCTGTGGTAGGTGCAGTGACTATATACATACCAAAGGCACCACTTGTGGTAAGATTTCTAATTTGAACGCAGCCACTTCTTACTTAACTTTAAACAACTCGGACTTTGACATTTTAATTAGTCTCTTTTATATTTCTATGATTCAGAGAAATGTTACATGATTACATTTTATTAAGTCGAGACAATGACTTCAGTAGAAGCTAGTTGTCAGAAATCTAAAAAAGTGGCAAAGATCACTTTTCAACTACCAAAAAAGTGAAAAGCTTCATCTTCGTTTTATGTTGTGGTTTTGACAGGGTGAAAGTCACTTTTACACTTACTTTAACATTGGAATATAGTTATTTGCTACTGTTCAAGGTAAAGTCAAGAGCACTTCAGATTTAAATCCAACTCTATCCCACTTACAATAAGAATGGTCCAAAGTGTCTTGACATGCTCTTGCTTGTACATTGGATTTTAAGTTATCGCCTTTAAGCTTTATAGCCAATAAATAAATAACAAAATAATTTTTGTTCAAAATTGGAGAAATCAAGGTACGTGTAAACAAGACTTAAATAAAATGTTAAAATATAAGTATTAAAAAATAAGTATTTAAAATGCATTCAAAATTTTTTTTGTGTTAAAAAATTATATAATATGCTTCTCCAAACTTACTCAAAGTTTTTCAAATGAAAACAATACTATTTGCTATAAACAGTACAAGTAGCACACTGAACCCACATGCAAAATAGGCTCCTAGATATTGAGATTGCAGACACCGGCATGTCATACCATACCGATTGATTACATATTTCAAGATGGATATAAATTCAACCAACCACCAGACCAGAACCAGATACAGTTTCAAAATTTGCAAGTACAACCTGGGTATTGTCCTTCCTATAATGCGACAACTAATGTTTTATTATTTCTTTAGATTTTGAATAAAAACTCCCATGTACACAAGAATTGGGTGACTCAAAATTACACAAAAAAAATTTTTACTTGAACCACTAACACAAATAAAATAGTCATGTAAATTCTATTTGATACAAAGAAGAATAGAAAGAAACATTACACATAGTGTTTATATATATATATATATATATATGACCTCAGTTATTTTATACAGCCTACTCTGTTATCTAATATTATATCATCCCAAAGGAAAATGTCATCTATGATACAGAACTATCCAAAGATTACAAATTGAGTTAAGTAGTTACTTCCAAAACATGAGTTGAGGAACAATCAACAGGATCAAACACAGAAAGTTACATGATATATATGGAAGACAACAATACCATATGACTGAAATCTTAATACTATGCAATTTTAGATGTTACTCAAGAAAAAATTTAAGGCAGGTATTCACCATTTCTAGATAAACATTATTCAGTAAAATATACTAGTTTTTCACTGGCATTTCATTACAATAATGTTCGTTTTTGAAGCAGATGCCAGTTCACAAGACACGAAAATGAACATTTCAGTGTGATAGTGCTTTCTGACACATGCCAATGCCATAATATGGTGATATCATTCTCATGACACAACAAACTAATAAGAGCCACTGCCGCCTCCGCCTCACGGCGCACGGCCAGCTCCTGCTTCAACGGACAAGTCAATGGCTCGTATTGTCAAAGCACGCATGGCGAATTCAACAACGATTTTCAAACATCAGAACATCAAAGCGTATATACCACTACAGTGGGTTTTTGACAAAAATATTGCTACAATGTAAACTTTTACCCAGCTGACGAGCCCCAGGAGTCGGGTAGCTGATAAAACTAAAATACTATAGGATTAACCTAAAGATGTCTGCCGACAATCATAATATTGAACTGATATCACGTTAGGAAGCCTTTGGTATGGAACAAAACTTACCTCAGTAAAATTTAGGCATCAAACTGGTGTAAACTGCTGCAAACTATCACGAAATTCGCGTAATTTTCAGAATAAATAAGGTCTGAAAACAGAAAATGAGTCTACCTCACCGTTCGGTGTCAATTTTATAATAATGTTGCCAGTTTATTATTCTTTCTTATATTGTCGTCTTGTACTGCTAATAAATAGCAATACTAAAATAATAAAATATCAATAGTGATGAGCGACTACGCCTCCGAATTCCTGAGCCATCGTGATTGATTACTAATAATTTTATGATTACGAGAAATTATTATGTCATCATAACAAAGTCGAATCAATGGCGAAAAAAATTTGATAGATAGATAAGTAGATGTTAAATTAATAAATCATACTCATCGTCACTGGAAAAGCGACGCTTCAATTACATAATATAGTTCACTATGACTTCACCGATTATTTCCTCTAACTTGTCAAGACCCTTATCAAAGACTAACGATCGGTGGGGAACTATAGGGCCAGAGAAATAGTTTAATTAAAGAAAGTACTCAATCTATGAAATAAAATGTCAATGTCAAGAAAATAAGAGTCTTATACAGCTTCATCACGCATAAACTTGCGCCGTTTTATTTAGGCAGGTAAAATGTAATACGCATATGGGGGAAGCAAGCTTGTGAAAGTCAGGTTGCAAAAAATTGCAGGAAAATAGTGATGTACTGAATTTCTTAATGAATTGACTATGTAAAAATTGTATTATAACATTTATAATAATTATATTATGGAATTCGGCTTGAACCTCATTCTAACTAAAATTGTAGAAGCAAAGTCCTTCAGGGTAGTATACAATTAAATATTTCCAACTATCCTTTCGAGTAATTCTTCGCCTCAATAATTGTAATGTTATTTTCTTGCTGTGAAGCAAGGGTGGAAACTAGCCTAAAATAAATCAGGCGAGCGCCACGAACTAGCTACATGACAGAAGATATTTTATTGATTCAATTATTGAAACAAATTACTTGAAAATGCTCAAACATCTTATGGTTAGTTACAAAATTAATCAAACATAAAAACTATGATTCTCAATTTAACCACTCATTACTGTCATCATTACATTAAAAAAATATTAATAAACTTTTAAATGATTTATGTCCACTTATAAAAACGAAATATGTTTATTAAATTTTTATTGAATTGATATACAAATATTTTTTGTGAAATTACTCCACTAGTTTGTTATAATTATTAATACAAAGATCGAACACTCAAATACAAAAACTATCAGAAAAAATTCCTTCGATCTGGTCGGATTCGAACCGACGTCTTCTTGCATACCGTGCCAGACGCTATACCAACTAAGCCACGGAACGAACCCACGGACCTCACGAATTTTTCTATGTGGTTGCGTCGTGTCTTTTTACTTGGTCTTTCAACGACTTTTTAGTCGTAGCGCCATCTATGAGAAATCTATAATAATAACGCATAATAATAACGCACACACTCAACATAGCCCCGCACTAGGGAAACCCTGTGTCGCGGGTGCCATGGACACACACATAGACAACCACAAATTACACCCAAACTCACGAGAGAAATAAATGTAGGCCATACAAATATTTCTCCCGGCCCGGGAATCGAACCCGGGGACCTCTGCGTGGCAGTCCGGTATGGTAACCGTTCGGCCACGGAGGCAGTGGGTGATAAATCTATGACAGATTTATCACCCAGTTAGTACCTTTACAGCTACCAGTCCTGGCGAGAGATGTCGCTATTCACTGTATTAATTAAATTTTTATTGAATTGATATTCAATTATTTTTTGTGAAATTACTCCACTAGTTTGTTATAATTATTAACACAAAGATCGAACACTCAGAAAAAATTCCTTCAATCCGGTTGGATTCGAACCGCCGTCTTCTTGCATACCGTGGCAGACGCTATAACAACTAAGCCACGGAACGAAAAACGGACCTTACGAATCGCCATCTATGAGAAATCTATAAATATGTTTATGTTAAATCGAACTTCATTCTTTTCAAAAGTCGGTCAAAAATTGCGATTCATTAATTTTATTTATCGTAAAAATATACAACATTATCCACTTCCGGCTTTGAAAACGCGGTATTTTTTTTTGTCATGTTGGCGATGGTATTGATTAATGACATATCGTCTAGCTCTTTTATTCACGTTACACGAATCATCCTATCCTTGTTGATCATACAAGTGAAGCCGTTGACCTCCTGTCAGGTACGAATGAACACTACTACGATTGGTGAATATTTTGGAGGGGATGAAATGTCAGCAAAAAACGCGTTCGTTGCCAACATTACAAAACGTTTCGCGCCGACTCATCGCGTACTTCCTTTCTTTCTTCTGCGTTTGGCATTCAGTGTTGAAGGTCGCGTCTGGACCTTAGATTATAGTTTTAATTATTTTAGCTGTAAAACAAAGTCATGGCAAATAACGACAATTTTGCCCAAGATGTTACCGATAATCAACTAAATGGAAATGCGGAAAACGGTGGAGGAGACGGTCAGGAACATAACAGTGCCGAAGCTCCGGGACGCGATGACGACAGGTAAAGTTGGCTTTATGTTACTGTGACGATTCCGTTATTATTTACTATCAGAAAGCTGCGTAAAGCTTTAATTTAATAGCTTTAGTGCTAATGTGGATTAGTTTCGTGAATTCCTTTCAGTTTTGCAATTTTAGGCCGCTGCAATGGCGGCGGCCCATCCGGCATTATTAGCGGCATTCAATCTAAATCTATTGTAATCCTGGAGATCTTTTCAAAATTTTATTTTTTCCCATTTGCAGTGTGTTCTACACGATGTAAAGTTAGTTACAGATGTCATAGTTTTCATTTCAGTCAATTTCAGGTTCAATTCTAAAATGTAGATTACATCGAGCCGCATGAAGTAAAATGGCGTCATATTCGCGCGTCTCTTTTGCACCCGGCACCGGCTCAGTCCCGTTATCGATTTTTGGCATCACGTTTTCATAGCCGATTGTTGTTGAATGTTACGGTCAGTGAGCGGCTAGCAAGATTTTAAATGGGTGGCAGGCGATGGGCCGGCCCAGTCAGTTTGGGGCGCACTAACGCTCTGTCTCTTGCAGGACGTGTGAGCCTGCGCCGCCGCCGCACCGCCCGCCGGACGCCGCCATGGTATATATCTGCTGGGCTCACACTAAAGTAAAGCTACGACCAAACTGACTAGTTGTCTCGGCCACTTAACTTTGGGCCTCGTTCACATTACCAATTTCAAATCTTGCCATTCACTGTGACGTTCTTGTTTCATTTATTTGGTTGTTAATGTAAAAATTTCCAGATTACTTTTTGTAACTTACAGGTTCTCAATTTGTTTTGCTGCAGTGCTTGGAGTTTGTTTTGAACAAAAAATAGCTGTAAAGTACTGTAAACAAGTACTGCGTAGTTTTAATGTTAAAATTTGTAATTTTAAGTCAAACTTTAAAATAAAAGAGACACAAATCCAAATTATTTTAATGATCTTTTTTTAATTATGAACTACCTGATGTCCACAGAAAACTGTTTGTTGGAGGCCTCAGCTGGGAGACTACAGATAGTAAGTTTATTTTTATTATTTGTTAATCTTTTAAACAGACTTATTTTCATGATGACTTTATTCAGTTCTGCTTCTGAATTAATTTGAAGAAAGTCATACCCACAATTCTGATGTAGTTAGCCACCAATGTCTGATAGTCATTGGAAGTGATTTAAGAGTAACAAGCCTGTAATGTGTTTTTCAGAGGAGCTGCGCGATCATTTCAGCGCATATGGCGAGATCGAGAGCATCAACGTGAAGACTGACCCCAATACAGGGCGATCGCGTGGCTTCGCTTTCATCGTCTTCAAGTGCCCAGAATCCATCGACAAGGTGATGGCGGCTGGCGAGCACACCATAAACAACAAAAAGGTCGATCCCAAGAAGGCGAAGGCGCGCCACGGCAAGATCTTCGTTGGCGGCCTCAGTAGCGAAATCTCAGACGATGAAATTAAGAACTTCTTCAGCAACTTTGGCACTGTAAGTGTACAATCTGATTGATTTTCGTTATTTATTGTGGAGTATAATTATGCAAAAAAGTAGGTGATGAAAGATCCGGTTTTGGTGAGATGTAAATTTCTTGACGTGCTCTGAAGATGAATCCGGGCCACTGATCAGACATAACTATAATAAATATTATTTTTCGTGAAATCTTTATTATGAAATGGTATTTGTTTTTCAGATCATTGAGGTAGAGATGCCGTTCGACAAAACAAAGAACCAAAGAAAAGGCTTTTGTTTCATCACATTTGAGTCTGAGCAAGTGGTTAATGAACTTCTCAAGACGCCCAAACAGACCATCGGTGGTAAAGAGGTGCGTTAGTATGTCCCTCTAGGAGGTCGGATGACGGCGAAGAGGAAGTGAGGCTGACTAGCTTTTCTGTTCGCAGGTGGACGTGAAGAGGGCAACACCGAAGCCTGACGGGCCCGGGGGCATGGGCGGTCGCGGGGGCCGTGGAGGTCGTGGCATGCGCGGTGGCCGTGGCGGACGCGGTGGCTACGGCGGACAACCCTGGAGCAATCAAGGTTACGGCGGCTACGGCTACGGCCAGGGCGGCTACGGCAGCGGGTACGACGGCTACGGATACGGCGGCTACGGATACGATGGATACGGCGGTTACGGCGGATACGATTACTCTGGATATCCCAATTACGGTAAACGCGGCAAGCAGCACTAGACGTAGCGCTCACCACTAGCCTGCTCACCGACACATTACCTCGACTGATGTTACCTGATCCTTAGGGTGTAAACGTAGAGTAAGAGTAGAGGTTACGCGCTAGGTTAACGTTGCAAGCGGGGCGACTCCGTCCTTGAGATGCCTATTTACTTGTAATTGTATATCGTACATTTGATTCGAGGATATCGACATCACGTTAGGCTTAGGTGTATGACTTAGTGTAGAAAATATTTATTTTTCTATTATAACAGCGTATTTACATATTCTATTGAGATAATGTGTAGTGAATGTTGTCCAGGCGACTATTGAATAACCATGGGCTGGTTAAATTAATCACACAATTAAGATTAATCATTTTCATATAACTTGTTTGCGAATCATTTAAATTTCCATTAGTTTGTTTATTTCCTGAACTAATTCGTGTGACGGCGCCGACACTGGCCGGGCCGCGCCGCACTCTTTGTCATCGTTTCACTGGGTATTTTCTGTACATATGTTACCCGCCTTATGTTTTTAAGTGTTTATTTGTAATACCACTTTTGACATTTGTAGCAATTCGCTCGAGTTTTGTTCGGTATTTTGTTTTACCTCTACACTCTCGCCACTTGCTACATATGGGAAATGGGGTAATATATGGAGAGACATTGTGAAAGTGATAAAGATACGATGAAGCTTGAATAAAGCACTGTTACAAAAATCTCAATGTGTTTCCATATATAACCCTTCTCCCTTCCCCGGCCGTCCGGCCTCGCTTCTCCCACACCTTATGCACTTTGGGATACTCTGATACTAACCTCTGCATGATGGCAATGGAAGTTGTACCGATTTCAAGTCTTATTTTTGAAGTTTTCTTTGAATGCGTTAGTCTGCCTATGGTTACTGTACTGAACACTTGTTAGTACTTACGTCTTAATTCGTACAGTTAGAATTAATTACAAATGAAGGCCTTTGAAAATAACACGATTGCATAGAGTATCAGATAATGATCAGTATAGCATCATAAAGCTGAGTAAGGTGACTATTCTGATGATTGCATTGAGAGAAAAGGAAGGGTCAGATCCCTTGGTTACCGCTTTGCTTTAGAGTCCGCCCCGGCAGAAGCGGCGCGGCCGACGAGCCCGCGGCGACGGGCAAGGGCCTCGGCGTCGCCGCACGCGCACCACCTCGCCGGCTAGAGCCGAGGCAGGGCGGTGGCTAGGCCGAGGGCGCTGCAGGTAACGGGGTGCTTGCGAGGGACGTAGACGCGGTGCGGCGACGCCTGGGGCGAGGGGCGGGCTGCGGTGACAGGCGAGACTAATGGCTTTGTGTTGCGGGCAGACTACGGCGGGTACGGAGGGTACGAGGGCGGCTACGGCGCACGCTCGGCTCCACGCGGGAAAGGTACTGCCGTCCTCACCCCTAGACATACCGGTTAACCACGCTCTTGGATATTCTGTTGGACACGTATTTCGATTCAACTAGTTAACTATCTTGGCGAATGTTGCCTTGGTACTTGCCGTTTACTGGGTTCCATTAATGAAATTATAGCATAATCATTTCGCGTTCGAAAAACAAGATTCACGTACGAAAGACAAGTTTTCTGTTTTGAAAACTCCCAATTGAAATCGCGACAAGACCGAATCCTTTTGATGTTAGAAATGACATTGACACACGGAAAAATTAATGACTACGTTGGAAATTACACGAAATCGTAGATTTTTACTTTTCATCTATGGATTATTTTTCATATATCTTCTTTTTTTTTCGGAAATCTTTTCTTATGTTTATTATAGTTTCGTAAACATCAACTTTCGAAATTGTTTTAGTATTTCTGTACTTAAAACTTCTGGAAAAAAATAGTTAGAAATAGTTTCACGCTGGAATAGAGGATTCGAATGATTCAAATTGCAGACATGTATGTTATTTGAACGTGAATATTGACATTTACTAGAGAGTTTAACAAATGGAACCCCTGTCCAGCAAAATGTTTGAGGTTTTTATGAGGACAGTATGTGTTGTTCATGTCGTTTTGTTTGCCCGGCTTTAATTTCATTCGCTCGCATTATTTGCTGTGCATTTATTTCATTTCAATAGGCGGGCAAGCTAGGGACATGGTCTCCTTCATCTTCACCTTTTCGTCACCTTAAAGAGTGTATACAATACATTAAGTCGTAGAGCACTTTTGTCACTTAAAACTACACCCGAGGGCCACTAAAAGCATGTAGTTGTTAATGCACGTCGCACCATCCTAAACCAATATTAGCAGTATGTTTCGGCAAAAGATGCGTCGATACATTAAATATTCAAAATCTTGTATTATATATTAGCTTCATAAAGATCAGTAGCTTAGAAGACTCGATCAAATGATTGTGGAGAGCCTCTCGGAGAGCAATTCGCATTTCATTCGTACGAGTCTACAATGTCTCCCTGCACTAGCGTATTCTGTATATTATTCATTGTGTAAAATATACTAAAAGCACCCGAGTATAAAAATAACATGTGTACATAAGATGTTTAAAAATGTTTAGCGACTCTTGGGGCTCGTGTTACGTAAAAAGTGGTAGATGTGTAATTATGGATTTTTGAACCTCGCAAGCATGGTAAGATAACACGGGGCCCTTGACGGAAACGCGAATGAATACAGTTCAGTGTGTTGGGGAACCTCAAGCACTGAGTGGTTTTGTTATGTTACAGCGGGCTACCAAGGTGGCAAGCAGCGTGGCGGCGGCGGCGGCGGCGGCGGCCGCGCCAACCAGAGGCACCAGCCCTACTGAACGTACCTGCCCACACATCTCAGTCCAATAGTAAGGTAAGTTGTTCGGTTGTGATACTTTTGGTTTTACTTCCTATGTTGAGTACACTGCAAATAATGATAAAAAGTGCGGAGTGACGAAGACGATGCGTTTTTGCGATTGTGAAGTGAGGAAACTCTCTTCCGATACTAATATCCGTCGTCTTTAATGGACTCGAGTTATGTACCGTTTGTGACGAGCGTGTGATTGCAGGTTAAGTCATCGGTCATGAGTGTCCCCCGCGCTGCCCCTCGCCGTTCGCCTGAGCCGCCACGCCGCGCAGGGGGCACGTCATTCCATTCCACATTATTAATTTAAGAAGTAATCTTTTTAAGAAGATTTTTAAGGATACTGTTTATGTGGCATGGCCGCGTCCGAGCGGTCGATGCATAAAATTTATTATAATATAGTATGAATAATAGATTCACTGAGTATTATTGCTGATTAGATTCAATTTTGACATTGTCTTACCTTTCGAACTGAAGTAGAGTATAGTAAAACAGAGCTTAGCGCCGAGCCCGCCCTCGGGCCGAGCAGGCCCGAGATCCTTAGCACCGGCGAGAGCGAGCGAGAGTGCCAGGCGACGCGTGACTGAGTGCGTGACTGAGGCGCCGACCTCCACTGTCAGTTGATGTTCGGATCTCATACTGAAATGTTGTAGTTTTGTATTTTTACTGATTAATGAACAAGGAATCAGAATCATGTATTTTATACAAACAATAGTTGTTTCTTCCATTGAGTAGGAATGAAATTAAATTTTTAGATGTTAAGTTATCAGACATGAACAAATTCTGCAGATATACAAGTTGTATGTCAAATAAAGTAATGTGTAAATAAATATTGAGTTTTTGTCGGTTTGTGCCAGGCCCTGGTCGTTTTTATATTTTCATCTACTCTTAATGATAGGTCCACAACTCTTGTGAACATGATGGTTTTTATTGAAGTGTTTTGCCCGTTTCGAGTTCGTTTCCTGTTATTGTTGCAATGATTAGAATTTAAAGTGCAGACTCGTAAGTGGAGTACAGCACATGAGTATTTTATCGCAACATCACTTGTTAACGATGTATATAAACTAAACTTAATGTTAATGAGCTTGTATTAACCGACAAGTTTATCAGACTGCAGCATCATGAAACCTCATAGCCAACCGGCTATCGTACTTGCGTTTGTAATAGTGATAGCTGCAACCGGTGGTGGCACCTGGCGCGCCTTTCGCTTCGGTGGTGATGATTTGAAGTTCAAGGGATCGTGAGTAAATTTTTTTTGCGTCGTAATTGGGAACTTGGTACTTGTCGTAATTGGCAAATCACGAAGTGATCGTTCCGCGTCAGTGTGCGTCCCTTCCAGCGTAACCATGGTAGAATCTTTGAAATTTGCCCAGGCATGGGGTACGAAGTCGTTGATTTAACCGGGTCTAGATGCAAAAAACTAGATTTAGTCGGTCCGCTGCACTGGGCATGAAAATCGGTTTTTCTTAGATGAAGGAATTTTTTTAAAGTGTCATTGTTTTGCTAACAATACCTTCGGTTATATTGCTATGCTTCAAATATAGTACGCGAGATATTCAGATAGTTTCGTAATGAAAACTACCTAATTAGTAGGTAGTTTGTGACTTGCATAATGAAAGGCATTGAAAGACTAGTATGGGTTTATGCGACGAGCCGACAGGCGAGTTTCATAAAAACATCACACGAGTGTTTTGCCTAATTATACACAGTTACATACTTTGCTTTATCTAAGCTCTCTGTGGTGTGTTCAGGAGCCGCATGTTACGACTGGCGAAATGGGGGCAAATAAAAACTTGTCACGCATTTTTTTTAAGGATATTTTGAAGTTGGCGACTGATGGCCTTGATTCTTAGACTATGGAAACTTTCATCCTCCAAGCATTGACTGCGCCACCGGATGAAAGGGCGAGCTGAAGTTCCTTTATTTTTTTCCATCTTGAGAGCTGAAGGCTCATAACCCGCCTTGTCACGCATTTCACACAACCGTACTTTTTATTAAATTCATAGACAAACTAGACTAGAGTCGGCCCCAACTATCATATCGTTAGATATCAAGTAATGTGGGTAAGTCAAAATTGTTTTGTGATATTTCATTTTGAATAAAACTTCATCTCGTGCATAAAGGATGGAAAAAAATTAATGGTCTAAGATCTCGTCTGATATTAGAATTTAGGTCGAATTAAATTGTGTTGTTTTTCAGATATGTTCGAAATTTGAATGTATTCGATGTTAATAAAAAGCAATAATAACATTCTCACAGATAAGAAATTTGTTCTAAGAAAACAGTTTATCTTAATGCTGGTCGTAATTTACGATTTTGAACACATCATAGTGTTTATGATACTCATAGCATATATGACTGGAGGTGTCATTGATAAGCCCCCTCTGTCAAGGTTCAGTTAAGAGCACGTCAAGCTTGACACTTTGTACTTTGGACCGTTGTTATCGCAAAACAGCATAGAGTTGGATTTAAATCTTAAGTGTAAAGTTTGACGTGCTCTTGACCCTGTACAAGCCAAAAAGACCATTGCATATTAAACTACTATCAAATCGATGTTTTTTCATTTGCGTTGTCGAATTCACCGCGTCAAGTGCTTCATGAAATATGTCGTCTTGCGACATACAAACTTACAAAAACATCTCTTCTACATCCAGTCTTGCCAAGGATGGAATTACATTCCATTTATACGTCTATTTTTACATTAATTACTGGTTTTCTATTTTATCACATTTTTTTTTCACAATGATCACATTGATTAAATTTATCGGTTACATCTTAGAGAATGTAAAAAAAATTAGTTTCCATAGTCTAAGGGTTACATAGAAAATATTCGAAAACATTCGAACATTTGACATAAGCATGCCTATGAAGTTCCTTAATTACTCACAGGCAACCTTTGTAAGTCTATGGCAACCACAGACAAAAAAATGCAATATTTCACGAACGCTGTTTTTTCGTTATAGAGAAGCGGACGTGCTTGTTATCTCCAATTTTTATCGATAGATTATGTAACGAAGTTTATTCAAATTGATTTCTCCGTCGTATTGTTATTAAATAATAATGTAATAAATTATAAATAATGAAAATAAATTTTAATTGTTTTAATATAAATCATGCCGTACTGAAAGAAAAATAAAATTAAAAGCACATGTACGAGTACATACTTTTTTCTTTTTATTATAACGCACACACTCAACACACATAGACAACCACAAATTATACCCAAACTCACGAGAGAAATAAATGTAGGCCGTACAAATATTTCTCCTGGCCCGGGATCGAACCTGGGACCTCTGCTTGGTAACCGTTTGGCCACGGAGGCAGTAAACTTACATACAGTACACGTAAATTACAAACGCAATCAAAATAACCAAATAGCTAACTGTCTTTATCCTACGCAATTTATGCGCAAAAGACAGAAAGAGACCCGTTACGTCAATTCCAGTTTTCGAACCACAAGCAATTAAAATATTTAGATTTAGAACAAAGAAACTATAGAGTTGATTTAATGTTGATCTTATTTTTAAAATGACTATTAAATATTAGTAATAAATAACTAAATATTGTTGTATTCGTTTTACTGTTTGAGTTATCAATCAGAAGTCCGAAAATACATTTGCCCGAAATAATATTTGCTCGAATTTTTGTAATCCCAAATGTATTTAATCATTTTAGGAATATTACAAACTACCTTAATCATTTCTTTGTATTAAGCAACCAAAATCTTCTGAAAGCATAACGGTTTTGTTATAAATTGGTTTTCGAGATATGAAACTGAGTTTACGTTTAGTCGGAATCTAGAAATTCGAAACCTTACGGCACGTCGGAACTACCAACAGAGAAACACAGCTATTTTCACATTTATAATATTTGTATGTACCTATATATCTGCACAACTCTTATTACTTGAAGTGAATTCGTATAAAATTCAACATACTATAAAATTAACCACTCTTGTGTTCAAGTATTTTCACTAGAAGCTAAATATGGTGCATTTTGTTATTTCCAGTAGAAGCTGACTTTGGTTAATTTTTGTGCCTTTAAATTATGGCAAATAAAATTAAGCAATACTGCAATAACTTTACAATTTAAATTAAATGTTTTAGTTTTTTTTATATTTCAATATATGTCACAACTTTTGTATAGGTTAACTCCGGCCATGCTTGTCATTGGCTACAACGCTGATGGCAAAAAGTTGGAAAAACTCCGGACATTTTTTCGCGGTTTTTGATTAGACTTTGGATTGTATTTATTGGTAAGTCAATGAGCAATCTTCTCTGGCAAGTACCAGTAAAACAATACTACTGTTATATAGGTACACGACTCACAAAATTGCAAAAAGAAATCCTCTACATCCAGTCTAGCCAAGGGTGGAGTTCCATTTTTAATATACGTGATTAACCAGTACGTAAAACATATCGATACCGTTACGTCGATAACTTTCGTCTCTAGTATATTCATGAGAATCGATTTATTTTTATAGGCCTATTCTGTGTACGGACATGACATGAATGTGTGTTTTATCTGTGTATTTGTAAAAATAAGCTAGTGTTGTCGATTTTTGTTTGTGTGAGACCATTGACTTACAAATAAATGGACGACGGGTCTAAGACAAAAACCACGAAAAAAATGTCCCAAGTCAACGTATTTAAACGTAGTGATATGTAAAGAAATATGAAAAAGCTAAAACGTTGAATTTAAATTGTAATGTCATAGCAGTACTGTCTAATTTTGCTTGCTTCGCTGTCAGTCGAAGAAACGAAGACTAAAGCGTGAATGACGCTCTGTATACGATTTTAACGCCCTATAAGTTCGGACACTTTTTAGCGCGGACCCGACGTCCATATAATTGTAAGTCAATGTGTGAGACCAAGAAAGTGAAACAACTCAATATTGCATTTGTGTGCACCCGTTTGCTTGTAGTACTGTACAAGTCCGTGTACAAGTTTTAATGCCAATAAGAACAAACGCACATTTTTAGCATCAAGCATAAATGGCATCAAGATTAATTTTTTTTTAAAACGCTCATGTTTTATTACTTAAGTAAAGTTTGCTAACAACAAAAAAGGAAACCCTTATGAGTTATTTATGAGATATTACATTAACCCGTAAGGAGTGTTGCCGATGCTGAAATTTTTTCCAGGCATTAAGATTTCACCGGCATTCCTGCATAGTTCAACCTACATTCAATGAAACAAATAAAAGGTCGCAGCCGAAGGAAAACAAGTGTTAGCAACTAGTTATTGGTTTATTAACTCCGAAGTGAACTGATTGAATTGAATGTTGTTCGTATGGTTTATATGTATATACAAAATAATTGATATCAAGTAACAATTGAGATGATGCAACAACCTGCATTTCTATGGAAATCAAGAAAGTGTACATCGTTTGTGATAACAAGCTTGGTCTAACGTTTAAAATGTCGTAATGTGGTTGTGGTCACATTACAAACAAAGAATTGCAATAAATAAACTTACATAATTATTAATATATTATAAAGCAAATACAATAAAAATACAATATTTAAATTTATAAATGATGATTGATGATGCAGATTTATTTTCTGCAGCGCGGATTCCAATTCGGAATAACGATCCAGATTGTATACGCCATGACATGGGGAAGAGTGTCTGCCTTTACTTGGTCACTAACTCTTGTCTTCCAACTAATTAAGAGGGTCGCGCGGAAGAAAGTAAAAGCAAATAATAAAAAATATCCCCCTGAATTTTTCCGGATATGTTTGATAATGGATGCAATATTCTCGCGACTATCTTTTTTAAAGTTAATGCAGTAAATTTAAACGTATTTCGTTAGGTGGCTGTGATAACAAAGTTCCGAATTAAGTTTTACCGTCAAAACACTAAAGTATTAGTTAACTAATGAGCCAAAGTTGGATAGAAAGGTAACACGTTTATTCAGCACAAATAGAAACAAAAAGAAACAAAACATTTACAATCACTTCACAGAGCACCTACAACATAAAGGCACATCGAACATTCGTTATTAATTTCATACACATTTATATAAAACATACTGCGAGAAAAACATATACTGCGAGAAAAACAAACAAATACTACACTATAAGAACTGATAAAATTTTAATGTACGTATGACTACAGTTTGTGCTGAAATAGCCCTGACCGGTATAAATACTGTAGACCGAGAGAATGGAGGAGGAATATCATTCCGGCACTTACTGGCGCGGTACCTGAAACCGCCGCGAAAAGCTGTCGTTCTGTGTTTTGGGATATTAATAACATTTATAGAAACTAATCAGAACTTATTCCCCCTTACACGTTGTGACCATTATTTATTAGATTATTTATAGACTAGATAATTATTCTGGTCAGGTTTCTGGGTTTTAACTATATCAAACATTAGGCACGCCAAATTACTACTTAGTTTCTCTTTTATTGACAGATTTCAAACACAACAACAAACAGGTTCTAGTTATCATAGTAACTCTTTTTTTAATCGACTTCAAAAAAGGAGGAGGTTCTCAATTCGACTGTTCTTTTTTTTTTTTTTTTGTATGTATGTTACGCGATAACTCCGGTATTTGCGAACCGATTTTCATGATTCTTTTTTTGTTGGAAAGGGGGTACTTCCATAGTGGTCCCATTTCATTTTGAAGGAAATCATCCACCTCAGAGGGTGGCTGTTCACGCATGAAGATTCATTTTTATAAATAGCGCCTAACTTTAATTTAGGAGCAATGACTTTTAGCAATTATGTAGTTGGTTTTGCTATTTCATCAATTCAAGGCATTTTTCCCTCGATATACTTTGAGTAGTGTCGTAGTGAGAACCTATTTTTATTATCTCCAGTATCAAGTCTTGTATAGTGGCGAACTAGGGGATATTTCAATGAAACTTAGCAAATAGACGTAATACCACGTACTTTTGAGGTCGGTTTTTTTAGTACTCTGTACTGAGATTATTAACATCTCAACAGAGACCTATTTTTTCTGAAATCCTCTGACTCCTGGGACTCCTGGGTCACAAGTGCTTTTGTGAAAATATCAGCCAGCTGGTCTTCATTAGTCACCTTGTCGACGTTCAGATCACCACTCTTCACCAGCTCTCTAACAAAAAAATATCGCACCCTGTTTAATACGACGGTGAAATTCAGGATTTTCTACTAGCCATGTAGTAGCTTCGTTACCAACTTTTACGAACGCTGTTTTTTTATGAGAAGACATGGATCTGCTTCACTTGCCTTAAAACCAATTTCATTGAAGAAGTCTATAATACAACGGTTCCAGCATCGTGCTTTAACCCATAAAGACTTTTTTGCAAAAGACAAATTCGACCCGAACCTTCGTCATAGCCTTCCGGTTGTTTCATAAAAATTTCTTAATCCAGAAACCCATATAAGAAGGCAGTAGTGACATCAAACTGGGGCATCGCCATTCCTTCGCTAGCTGCTACACTCCGCACAGAGCGAACTGTTAGCATCCCAGTAACCGGGCTAAACGTCTGTTCGTAGTCAATGTCCTTTTTCTGGTGAAAACCTTTAATTACCAGTCTTGCCTTATATTTATCTACAGAGCCATCAGCGTTCAATAACCACTTACAGGGTATGGCTTTTCTTCCTTCCGGTAGGTTTACAAGCTTCCACGTATCATTTTGTTTTAATGAGTTAATTTCGCTGTCCTTGGCTTCCTCCCATAGCTCCTTCTCCGGGCTTCTAATTGCATCTTTATGCGACGTTGGCTCGTTGTATCCCATTACAGCGTTCATGATAAAGTCTTTGAATCGATCTGAGGCACGTAATAATAATAATAACGCACATAATAATAACGCACACACTCAACATAGCCCCGCACTAGGGAAACCCTGTGTCGCGGGTGCCATGGACACACATAGACAACCACAAATTACACCCAAACTCACGAGAGAAATAAATGTAGGCCATACAAATATTTCTCCCGGCCCGGGAATCGAACCTGGGACCTCTGCGTGGCAGTCCGGCATGGTAACCGTTCGGCCACAGAGGCAGTTAATGAAGAGCGAACACGAAGTTTCATCAGATCCGGGAACACGTCTTCATAAACGACGTGATCTTGACTAATAGGGTGATTCTCGCGAGTCGTTCAAGTCGCCATTCAGGCTGTAAATCGGTAGAAATATAGTAAATTAAAAAAAAATTAAATGGAAGAAGGACATATACAGGAAATGTCTAGGGGAGTCTTTAAAGGCCTCGGTCTACGTCCTATAATAATTCCGAGTGGTTAAGAAAACGATGTCAAATCTCATTACTCTCCCATTCCAAACGACCAAACGAAAAATCGATCGCTGTGTTTAATAAACACCTTGTAAAAGGAATACTCCCGAATTTTATATGACGACCCGAGAAAGTAACTAATAAATGATTATTTATTTAAGCCTATTAATTTTTCAAGTTGTTGGATAATAGAAAGAAAGAATCCTCTTAAGTTTAAAGAATTCTAAACATAGATCGTAGAGTCGGCCCTCATTAGGTCCCTCGTATAATCTATGGAGTTCGTCCCAAACTTCTTTTGGTGAAGACAATCTGATTCCTTTACCAAGCGTCTCATCTCTTATATATTACTTGGTACTTGGTGTAACGTGCTGGCGTCTGGTGTATATAATATTAATTGCAGATACATAAACTACCAGAAATAAGTGTAACTATTTTAATTATGAGAGAAGACCCTGATTTCCGTAACACAGATCATTGAACCTAACTCGGAAGCCACCAGAGCCTTACAATGAAATGCAACTTTACTGTTTAAATAAAGAATTATTATTATTGACTCGATAGGAATGGCTGTTTCAAGATGGGTTCTTTTGTGTATTCTTCTTTTTCGTATCAGGAAAGGAGAGCAGCGCTCGGACGATATTCCACAGCGTTGCATCGATCACAACGTGACAGAGGTGACGTGCGGGAACATCGTGGAGGACGACGCTCTGCTGCCGCACCCTGACGACTGCCAATTGTTTTATTACTGCGTATCGCCGGGGCATGCGCCGGTGTGTCGCCAGTGCCCCGCCGGCCTGCACTTCAGCCCCACCACACACGTTTGCGATGAGCCTGAGCATGCTGGCTGCACCAGCGAATCTAACAGAATTTCTACCTAAACATTTGCTGTTGATTAAATAAAAGTTGACTTGAATGTTTGAAAAGAATTTAAATTTGCTATTGCTGACCATCAACAAGCTGATGTATTCAGCAGGGTGGAAAGTCAAGAAATATTTTATTGTACTAATCGACAGGATTAACGACAAGAATAAAACTCCAATATTTTTTTATACACACTTATTGCGATTAGGCTGATTTTTTTTTATAGTACCAAGTGACGGGACGAACAATTATGATTAGTGAGATTACACAGTCATGGCGCCGCAGAGGCGGTGTTTTTTGCTGCTGCGGCACCGCGTGAGTTACGGCGTCATACCACAGCACCAGGGTTGCAAATACAGTCCATATTGAGTCGTCAACCGAAATCGAACATTGGTAGAGAATTGCAGTAGCGCAGCGTTCGCCGCTGCCGTCGCGGTATCAAGTAACGTCGCGATCGCGATGCGTGTACGAAACGGTCTATACATATACAAGGGCGACTGCAACTGCAGCGCTGAAGCGGCGGCGGGCAGCGGTGCCGCTGTTGTTACGGTGTGTGTAATTCAATTAGCCATATAAATAATGATAATTATCTGCCTACGTTTCAGAGTATTGGGGGCACTTTAGTTAAGTGAAACGGAAAACACAGTGTGTTGATTTCATATTATGAACGCTTTTCTTTATTTCTATTTCTATATATTCTGTTCTTTTTTCAAATCGTAGTCGGATTCTCCATTCTGCTGAGTGTAAGTGCGTTTGCGCAATGCATCCGGTTCGTGGTTCGTTCTTAATCCGAGACTACACAAATCTAGAAACCTCGGACGCACTTCGGATGTCGCTTGTGCACTAACTCCGAATCGAATCCGAGAAAATATGAATATCGTTTACACTAGACATGAAAAGATCTCTTTGAAATTTCGGACCGTCATTTCTCGGATTCCGAATCCGAAACAGATACAAATCGGACGTAGTGCTCAAACGCTCTTAGACGCTAAAATGACACAAAGAAATAACCGCACACACAACAAACTGTAATTTATTTAAGTACATTGTAAAGGTTAGGAAATACCACTACAACTTGGGAGGCTTTAGTAGTTCTGCGACTGCGACGGCTGCAACGGCCGCGACTAGCAAGGCTGCGCCATATTCGTAGCGTTGATGATATCTAGCGCGTTCACAAGCGCACGGTAGTTTACCTGTACCATAACATTGCATTCGGAATGATGCCATATTTTTTCCGTCCGTCAATATTTATTATTAACCACGCACAAAAAAGAGGACAGTTACAAGTGGAGCCATTGTATGTGTAACTGTGTGCCTGTTACTTCTTACATAGAAACTATTTTTTATTTGGAGGCTAATTTAATGGGGATGAGTTTTTAGTTATGCTGCTTCTCGACTACTTACTGTAAAACTATTGCATTACGGCTCATTGAAATGGTCTGGACGAGTTGTTAGACTGCTAACAGTTGACTGCATGTTTACAGTTAATGCGTGAAGACGTTATCCGAGACTTCGAAACAGTTGAAACCGACTTCACGGCCGAGATCGACTGCACGCAGTTAGTGCGTGAAGTTGATTACGACTTCACGCATTAACTGCAAATATACCTACAGTCAATCTGTTAGCAGCCTTAGTCTATAGATGATGACTTTATTGTGTTTTTGGAGTATCTGCATTGATTTGTACCGGAGGTTTTTAATTTTAATTAAAGTTATCACTATGCAAAAGATTATTTTACTATTGTGGCAAAATTTTTGAGTCAGTATAACTCGAGTTCTCTTAGGTTAAAAATCTGAAATCAAATGTAGATTTTATTATTATATTATGCGAAGAAAAATTAAACTCTCATCAGGAGATGTGTAAGTACGCAATGGCAAGACGTTAAAGTGGTGATTACCTCGGTACCACAGCCGCGACGGTAGCCGAAGCACTTGTAGATGAGGTCGCGCTCGCGCGCCGACACAAGCGCCAGCAGGTTGCGCGTGCACAGCGCGCGCTCCACCGAGATGCGCGGCAGCGTGCCGCAGCGCTCCTTGTCCATGTCCTGCCACACCACAGCTAATACGCTGAACACGGGGTACAAGTCGCATCTTTATCATTGGTGACATTAATTAACATACTAAACCGTGTAAGCATGCCAATTGGAAAAATGTCTGCACTAATAATCATTTACAACTTTATTGAGGTTGGTGCTAAAGTACCAAAGGATTAGGAAACAATCGTTAGTTGCGCCAGCAGTCAAACAATGTGCACATGAATAGGTGGCACCACTGAAAGGCACAACAAAAACAATACCTTTTCCAACAAAAGAAATCGTATCTGGTCATGTGACAGGAACATTGGCACCTTTCGGTCGGAAATGAAATGTCGCACAAAAGCCTAAAATTGTTACATAATCTGAAACTGAAGCAGTGCAGTTTATAAAGATAAAGAACGATAGTACTAGGAAGTCATAATCAAGATCATTATAATAACCTTGAAAACTTCGAGAATGTTGGAATACTGGTCGGGGAATTTGGACAGCTTCGCGAGCGCCATGGAGACAATGTTGCGCTCCTCGAAGTTGAGGAAGTTGTAAGGTGAGTCGATGGTGGGCACGTGGGGAACTGGTTCGAGTAGCGGCGCACGTTCCAGCCCGTCTTGCGTCAGCGCCTCGCCCACCGTCGAGCAGAACCGCTCGTACTCCACATACCGCCGCCGCCCCGGCGCACAGAAACTGTACGTGCCAACAGACCGCGTGAGAATTAATGGTGATAAAGTGTGACTTGAACACCCGTTTGTTGCGATTATTTTATTACTGACGATTACTAGCAGGTGTGCGGCTTTTACTAGTACGTGCTCATGACAATTGCATAGGAAATTGTTTCGGATCTAAATCGCGTATATTTCTTTGGGTTTTGTCAAACAAAGCAACGTTTCGGGCCCTTTAAAGGTCCCATGGTCACGGATGACTGAGGTGGTAAAATCATCACCCAGTTATGTTTAATATTAATGCAAATCACCCTATTTTTCAATATCGTTACAAAAGTTATTAATTAAATACCTTATTTTAAAATTTTTTAAGAAACATTTTAATTTTACACGTGTTTGACAAAATTAGTTTATTTTAACAATATATTTTTTTTGTTACATTTAATTTTATTATTAAGTAATAATGGTAATTTCAATCAATTAAAACATGTAATATAATTACTACTGCAGTCTTAGGTCGGCTTGGGAGTATTCATCAGAGGAAATACAGGATCCCAAACTGGTGGTACGGAGAAACCATCTTCCCTGTTGAACTTAGGATATTTTTAATTTCAGTGGCCTCCCGCAGCATCTTGGGTAGTTAAGGGACTTCTTTTGCAAGGACCTGGGGTTTGTCGAACTTAGTTGAGCGTGTTGGTTTATCTATGGCGTACCTACTCGCAGGCTGCAGACTTGTTTACGCGATGGTGTTCGATATCAGCTCTATGTTCATTGACGCGGGTACAAATACTTAGCTTCGTTTGTCCAATATAAGAGAGATCGCACTTGCATTCAAGCTTGTACACTCCGGAACTGAGAAATCTTCCTCAGGTGCTTGAAATAGGTATTGATAGACGCACGCCTGAGGACTCTTCCGATCTAGTCTGTAACACCTCTCACGTAAGGTAAATTAAATGGCAGGTCTTCGCTCGACTGTTGATGGTTTCACCGTTTTACTTTTATTTTTTATGTGTAACAATAACCTAAGAACTCCATAGTTTAATTTATTTAATTAATTATTCGGTAAATTGCTATTACAATAGGTAAGTACAATGTATAATATCAAACAATAAGTGAAAAAATAGTAGTATAGGTGACACGGTAAGCATATAGGTTATGCGTCTTGTATACTTACACTTCCATGACCGTGTCCATTTCAAGAGGTGTGAGAGAAACGCCGGAAGATGCGAGGCCACGATAGAAGTCAGCGCGGGGTATCACCAGTTCGTTGTGCAGGTCGTACTGCCGTAGGAACGAACGCGGGGAGATGCCCTCGCGCACGATCTGCGCACGACAAGTTTGTCTCAGTGATCTCATCTGCATCTCCTTTCTCTAGTAAGTCCGAACGTTTAGAATGACTGATACGCACTCGAGTACTCAGTGACGCCTAACGGCTCGTTCGTTCAGAATTTGAACGAACGATGGGTGGAAAGTTTACTTCCTGGACTGACACATAATTAAGCTTTCCGACCCGAACGCTAATTTGGAGTCAAATTCAGTTTCAATCGAAGCACGTTTTTGTTGTTCCATTGAAGAAAGCGAAGCACAAGTGGGAGTAAGTATGCTCATACTTTTCCCTTGATCTTGGCGAGGATGTTCACGATGTCGGTCTCCAGCGGGTCGACAGTATGTGCAGCGGTGGTGTGCGGCCCCGTCGACGGGCCTGCAATCTGGGAGCTCTCCGGCGGTCGCTCGTTAAGCTGACGTGAATAAAGAAGTAATTAAAGCACAAGTACATGTATACACACCTAATACCTCAATGTGAAGGGAATTATCTCAAATGGGGTATAAATCGTATTAGAAATTGGGGAATTGTTGTTGTAGAGGCGCCCTACAACTCTTAGGCTCAACTCACACTGGTGCAGAGTCGAAGCGTCGCGTCGCGTCCTGTTTTTCAACCACAACGCTTGGCGACGCGCGTCATCGCGCGACGACCCTTGCATTACTACCCCCGGATAACTGTGTAGTCGGCGTCTGACGCCTCACTGCGCTCAAATGACGCGCGAAGCCGCTCGACTGCATCCAAGTTTATCGCGTTATCGCGTGTCGACGCCCGTTTCCATATTTGCATAACACAAATTTGTACCTTAATAATGGGAAAATATAGATGAATATACTATGGGCGAAAAACATGACGCGTTGCGACGCTTCGCCTCTACGCCAGTGTGAGTTGAGGTTTATACTGGTAAGATGATTATTCGGAGCTAAGTTATTAGATATGTATTGTTTACGTGAGCGATGCTTACCTCTTGCAGCAGCTTGACATAGTTGAAGCCGCAGTCGTCGAGGTAGCGCGCCTCGAGCGCGCGCACTTGCGCGCCTGTGGGCAGCACGCCCAGGCGCGCCAGCACGCGCTTCACCACCGACCGCGCCACGTGCCCGTTATTCGTGCTGCACACATCGTGCAGCCGTCATGGACTTGGCTTGTCTCTACGACTGTACTTTTCAGTTTGTCCCTATTCACTCACCCGATGGATAGCGCTTTCCGGGGAGATTACGGGCTCCCCGGTAAGACCAAGGTAGGTTCAGCGGGCGTCCGGACAGAGAGAATGTGTGATCTATCCCGCGCGCAGTTAGCGCGTCTTAGTGGCGGACTGGACTAGGGCCAAATGCGAAAAGATGTGGGGCACCTGAGTTGCCGTTTCAGTAGGAAGTTATGTCCGGCTTTCGCTGGGCACTGCGGCTGACGTCTCCGATACTAATCCGGAGAACTAGTAGAGGATAAGCTAGATATCCTCCAACCCTCTAGCCGCTAAGAAATTTGGGGATTGAAGAGACACTTCGGCCGACAGCTCTTTGACAGCTGAAATTAGAGTCAACGACTTAGCAACTGATAGTTGTGCAATGTACAACGGGAGGTGAGCGAGCCATTAGCTGCGGTATCTATCTGGACAATATATGTAATTGGGATAAAAATAATAATAGGGAGGGTGCTGTACGTGTACTCGGGGCGCCCATGCAAGGCCTTTTGAGAACCAGATGAAGCCTGTGTTCACGGGCTGATCTGGGGTCTGGACCCGCTGACAAGGTGGTTCCTATGCAGGCTTGCTTGGACAGGTAACAGTAAAACCAAAGATTGATAGGGAGGGGCACTACAAACAAAACTTAGCAGATGAGATATGGGACTATACTTTATAGTTACTGGTTCCCTTGGTCTCGGTCGGAAGCACTTTAAATGCTTGTACTTTTGTATAACAATTTTGACATATCGCACTACTAATACAATAGTGTTGTAACTCAAAAAAATGTGAAATTCAAGATTATACCATTTCTGAACGACAAATTTGTTTCTCTACGTGCCTATAAAATTGTCATTAGAATATTGTCATAAGGAACCATTAAAATATATCTACTTAATCCAGAATGAGACAAACGTTTCGTGAGCTAGTTCAGGACAAAACAGTCCTTACTCAAAAATATGAAATTATTTCTCACTTATTTTTAAATATACTTCTATTTGGCAAGTAGGAAATTGTTCAGATGTGTAATAAATTTTAACCTAAACATAAATTATAATAATCTTTCACGGGAACTGAGCAATTCGTTTTTCAGCTGTACTGAATTAATTCACATTTTGAGTTAACACACTATTGTATTAGTAGTGCGACATTTGTTTCATAGTAGGTACATATGGATTGAGATTGTACTAGTCATGATCGCAGAAGGCGGGTCGAAGGTCGATGGAGCGCTCGTTACAGGCAGCGCGAACGCGTAGCATCGCCGTCTCGGCCTCGTCCAGCTCGGCCTCGCTGGGCCCGCCGCGTTCTTCCATCGAACCCATTATCGGCATCGAGGAAACCACTTCCGCCGCGGCCCCTGGCGTCACATCTGGGTGCTTCTCTAGTTCCTTTATCGTGAACACTGCATTCGATACAAATACTTACAATACATTCTGCAAGGTCATTGGTGCCTAACATAAGCTACAGTGTGGTGATCAGTGTTAGTTGTTAAGTGCGTTACGTGCCTTGGTCGCAGTCGTCCTCGAAGGTGCGCCAGCAGAGGCGTTGTGGGTCGTTAGGGTCGATATAGTGGCGTATGATGCAGAGCGCCTCATCGGGCGTGAGGATCTTCCCCAGCCCGCACTGGTCTAGCGCGCGTCGGAACTGCATCGGCGGCACCTTGCCACTGTTAAGAGGGTCATAGTCCTGCAAAGATTCAAGCACTACAATAAGAAATACCTATTTTAAAAACTGTATACATCACAAAGAAACATCAACACTCTTAATGCTAATAATAAGTCTACTGATGGATACAGGCATTTTCAAAAATGTGCTAGTTTTGTTGCAATCACAGTAAAGTAGTTACACCTAGTCATCGCTTTTTTTTCTTGAATTTGCTCTGTAATTGCTTACTACGACGTATAGGAAATAAATAAATGGTTCTTATCGAAATGTAGGTTTTTTCAGTTTCGGTCAGGTAATCTAACCAAGCACCTGCTGAGAATCTTGTTTCGGTGCCTTTGCAAAATATATTTACCCTAAAGAACTCTGAGACACGAATCCTGCTTTTAAGTACGTGCTCCTGCACACGCAGCATGATCTCAACGAGGTCGCGCGTCGGGCGAGGCGAGTTCATTGCCGGGTGGTACACCTCTGAGGGGCCAAGCGGCTCCGTCGACAGCCCCGCCTCCACCTCCGGCCGCGAAATCTTCGGCAGCGTCGTGTCGATCAAGGCCGCCGGGTTGCGATACGCCTGCGCGCGAAATTATGACTATGAATCTGTACGTCATACTGTACTGTTAACCGAAACTATTAAGTAAATAAAAATTACTTATGTAAAATAAATAACAATCGAAATAATCCTGGACAAAAAAAACCGCGAACCCCAAAAAGTAAATAATAGAAGGGTAGTAATTAAAGTTCCGAAAAGTAAATAAAGAATGAGCGTATTGAAAATTATCAATATTGCTGAATTACTTAATAAGTTGCCGTTAATTTGCGTCAATAAAACTACTAAAGCAACCGAATGAAATACTGAGAGCTCCGAAAAATCTTGCTGACGTAAGAAAGTGGCTGGTCGCGAAAGTAGACCGATTGTACCTGTTATCTACCGCCAGAGGGACCCACTGAGAAGACAATAATTAAACACAACCACTCATGTTGACACGTATATTTTAACTAAAAACCACACGGGGTGCAGCGGCGTTTCTACTTAGAACTAGGTACTTATTAGGTAACTTAGTAGGTACTAACATAACATCCCTCCACCTTTATTTTTTACAACTAAAAGAACATAAACTAGACTTAAAACTAAAAGAACTTTCGATAGTCTATTTTATTCCGGGGGCGCTTCATAGTTAGGTATCTGAGGCTGAGCCTGAGCTGAAGGGTTGAGTACAAGCGCTTCTAGCGCGGCGGACTCAGGTGCGGAAGACTCCACGTCAGGGCTGGTTTCGCACTCGAGCCAACGCTCGGCGTCCGAGTCGATTCCATCAGACGGCCCAGAGGGCTGCTTAACACTCGTGTCGCGCTCGCCGGATGCGGCGGTCGCCGAAGGGTGAGCCAGTAGCACGGGGGGCAGGATTGGAGGCCCACTCACTTGCGGCGATGCTGCGATGCGTGTGGTGTATCTGCGCAGTCTTCCTTCTGCTCCTCCTCCCCCTTGTATTTCAGTATTTGATTCAAATGTTTTTTATGCTCCGGTTTGAGAGTTCCATGTGCACAATGGACACAGATGCACCAAGTTTCTTTGTAACGTGGGACTATGAGATCCAATTTACGCCCAAATAATAATTCTGAAGGGGATCTGTCTGTAGTACTGTGCTCTGAGTTTCTGTAATGTAATAAAAATTCTTGTAATTTTAAATTAAAATCTTTGGCTTTTGTTTGTGATAATACAAGTCCTTCGATTGCCAGTTTTATTATTTGACATAAATTTCACAGTGGCCATTACTGGCCGGATTGTAAACTGGGGAGGTTAAATGTTTTATTCCATTACGAGCGAAAAATTCGTTAAACTCATTGAACACAAAATAAGTTCCGTTATCCGAACAAATCCTATGAAATACCACAAATCTCGACATCACTTCGCATAACTTTTCTATTATTACCCGAGAGTTATAACCATTGGACACATCGAAATACTCAACTCATTTAGAGTACGCATCAACTGCCACTAAAAAGGTTTTATTATCAATCAGTCCTGCTAAATCAATGTGCACGCGATGCCAGTTGTGCGGCGGGAAAGGCCAGGGCGTGAGTGGGGCGCGGGCGGCACACGCTGCACGTGGCTACGACTGTTCGATATCAGTGGATAACTGCGGCCACCAAAACCTGTCACGGGCTTGTGATTTCATTTTCTGGGCCCCTAAGTGACCTGTGTGTAATTCTATTTTTTTTTTTCGCAGGGAGTACGGAATAATTAAATAATACTTTATGACCTCTCATGAGAAGGTCGTCCTCCACAGCTATCTCGCTACGGTTTTCGAAATATGGTTTTAATGTTAAATCACTTACTTTGGTAGGCCAGCCTTCTAAAATGAACCGTTTTATCTGCGATAGCAATTTGTCAGCGCAAGTACCTGCTTTTCTGTGAGTGCTAAAAACCACTCACCCTTACAAGCGAAATGTACGTAGGTCGCCCTGTCAAGTGGCTAGTTGTCCTTAGGCGAAACCGGTTCTTCGACTGACGCCCGACTCAAATAATCAGCTGTGTTGCGGGGGCTGCCAACGTATTCTATACGGTAATTATAAGCTGATAAGAATATTGCGTAACGCTGTAGACGGTTAGCTGACACTGCCGGTACGCCTTTATTTGGATTAAAAAAGAACAAAAGTGGTTTATGGGCGGTCCAATAAACGGAACATCACGCCCATATAAGTATTGATGATACTTGCGCATTCCAAAAAATATTGATGTAGCCTCTTTTTGGATTTGGCTGTATCGCTTTTCGGCTGCAGGCAATGAGCGCGACGCATATGATGTAGGTTTTTCTACTCCGCCTACAAACGTTGACAAAATCGCGCCAAGGCCGCGCGGCGACGCATCTACGGTCAGAAATCGTTTGCTATCGGGATTAAAATGTCCTAAATTTTTTTCCGACGCCAAGTCCCGTTTTATTGCTATTACTGCCTTATGGTGTTCTTTATTGCATACCCAAGGACACATTTTTTGCAATAGTTCATGTCAAAGGCTCAGTATTGACGACGCATTCTTTACAAAATTCCTGTAATAATTAACCAAGCCCAGAAACGATTTCAATTCTGTTACGTTACTTGGCACTCTCGCTTTTAAAATGGCTTTTACTTTCGGGTGATTTATGAATACCGCGCTTATCTATAGTAAATCCTAAGTATGACACCGAATTTTGGAATAAGGAACACTTTTCTTTTTGCAATACCAGCCCGGCTTGTTCTAACTAAATACTCCGTGTAGTTTTTCTTCATGTTCGCTTTTATTTTTGCCAGTTACCAAGATTTCGTCCAGATAAACTCGAACTCCGTTTAGGCCTGCAAGTAAGGTCTCCATGGTTCTCTGAAAAATGGCTGATGCACTTGCTAAGCCAAACAGAAGTCTCGTGTATATATATAAAGGCCTGTGTGTGTGCCCCGCTCAGCTTAGCAAAAAGTTCGTCTATTCGAGGAAGTGGGTATTTCTCAACAAGTAAATCGACTGCCGCAACAAACAGTATCGTAACTACAAAATCTAATTTTTTTTTTATTGCAACAATTGGAAGAGTATATGATACACTATTAGAAAAATATATAGTTTGGTAAAAAAATCATATTAAGTGAAGTTTTAAATTAAGATAGTATTTAATATATAATATAAGGTACTTCACACTATGAGCGACAAATATTATCGAATAAGGTACAATCGATACTGTTCTAAAGCGCGACGGTGTGCTCACACAGTTCGTAACTGACCGAATCGTCAATATTCGCCGCGATGCGATGTGAGAGAGTGATCATGCTCTTTCATGCGTGACAGGGCATGTCTCTTTCGTTTACTTTTAGTTACTTATTTTTTGTTTTGCTCTTTGTTTTTTTTTTAAATCGAGTTTAAAAATGAATAGCCGAGGTAGATGTGTGGTTAAGGCGCTGACAAGAGTCGATGAACTTGCGTCGATGACCTTGAGCGATAACGCGCCTACTATAATTTCTCCGATAAGGTGGCGCCGTATGCCCCGCTGCAGTAAGAGTGGTAGTTGGACCTTCCGCTTGATTTAACATAATATTGATTGCCGCTAACAGATGGCGTTGTACTTAAAATACACACATGCTATCAAACCAAAAAATATCAAAGCACCAGACGTGTCCTTTACCCGCTCACAAAACATCCTGGCAACATACCAAGCCAAAACGGAGAAAATAAAAATCCTTCAGGGTACCAACCCTAAATAAGTAACTTTTAAATAGCTAAAAAGAACCTTGCTGCTTAACTTCATATAATGTCTTTTTTAAAATATGCCAAACGGATCCATGTCACATGTACTGAAGTACTGTAGATCTTTGGCGTTTTCATTACGAAAACTAGAACATGGTTCTCGTTAACTAAATAAAAGATACATAATGTTTTCTATTTATTGCTATAATATAATATAATAGTTTTCCTATATCGTTCTCATTGCTACAGTACATCGTTTGTCTCAAATAGAGATGCGTCGAGTACAAGTTTTACCGAGTAACCGAGTACCGAATATTACTTGGTTTAACATTTGCCGAGCCGAGTACTCGGCCGAGTTACTCGGTTCATTACAACCGGAACGCGATGACCCTAAAAGCCCCCGTTGCTCTAGAATTATGCCGATATGTCAATGAAAGTTTATTGTCACGAGAGCAGAGTCCTTTCCAATGGTGGGCAGAGCATAAAACAAAATATCCAAAACTGGCATAGTTGGCACGAGTATTTTTATGTGCACTGTGTATAGCGAGCGGTTATTTGCCGATGCGGGTAATGTGTATGAAGAAAAAAGGAATAGACTATTACCTGAACGCGCAGAAAACCTTGTAAATATTCTGACATGATAACTTGCCTTTGTTAAATTTTAAATATTAATAATGTAAAGTTTCTTTTTAAATTACCGAATTGCTAGAAATTGTTAAAATTGTCTACAATTTCTAGTAATAAATCTCTTTTGAATATTTTAAATATATTGTTGATTTTACTTTATTATGTCTATAGCTGTGATGCTTTATTCTAACCGAGTACTCTTCTCATGAACTGAGTTATTCGGCCGAGTACACCGAGTACCGAGTAGCAAACGAGTACTCGGCGCATCTCTAGTCTCAAATAACTTATCTATTTATTTCTTTACACTGTTTTTACAAAAATCTAATTATCTCAAAAGTGACATTTTGTGGGTTGGTTATAGTTTGCATAACTATGTCCAACTACATATCTCGTAAGTATCGTGCTCGGCGGTACAATACCGATTACAATACAATATAAATTAATTTGTCAAAACCATGTCAAAACAGAGGTCTGGCAACGTATCCCACGAACGCAAGCTACGCAGCAGAAGTTTTCAACTTTGCAATTTTACTAAATAATCAAGAACGCAAAAAATAAGTTCATTTTTGTTTTGAATACTTTGTGTTTTAGGTTCTAATCCAACGTTTTGATTTCAACGATTGGTGCATTATATTTACATATTTACGTATTTTTTTGTATATGATATTTTTGACACTGTTAAGTGCCTGTCCATAATTTGCAAGCAAATTTTTAGCTCGTACTTTAGTAGGCGAAAGTTACTTTTTACTACTAAATTTGTTATTTGTCTTTTATTTAAAACAAATAAAGTGTCAGGATCAAGATAAGTACCATTTAAATAACCACACCAAATTTGGTAGTAAGCAAGTTTGTTTTGCCCGAGAAAAATATGTCAAAAATAACCACCAGAGTCTCACTGTAATCCAGTTTTTGTATTACCTATTACAATAAGCAATATTCTAGGAACTTCAAGATACGTGTTACAGGATGTACTATTTTCAAAGTTCCACGTGCTATGTTATCGCTTAAAAACTTACACAAAAACACCATATTTAAGCGATTTTGGGCACCTCATCGCCTTAATTTCGTATTAAAACATAAACAACAACGTGACGGTTAAACCACGTCTAACGAAAAAAATTATAATTAACTCGGTAAGTAATTACAATTTTGTTATATCCCTGTATAATATCAAAAATAAATGATCTAAAATATCACTTATGTAACCAGTTCCTGTATATTTTTTAAATAATTAGTTCTTTATGTCGTTTTTTCTTATCCAAGTGACCAGATGGCTGATCAGACAAGAAAAACTATCGAAAAGAGGAGATTCGACAGTGTTCTAGGTGGACGTAATTTCGACAAAGTTGTAACTGGCACTTTCGATAGTATACGTGTTTATTTCTATTCTTGAGAGCTATCGAATGTACCACTTTCCATGGTTTTCTGTGGAAAACATCTATCGAGTCTAACAGTTACAATGTTGTTCTACGCTAGATACTTCGCAAATTGGCAGATTCGATTTTTTAAATGTTTAACTCTGAGTGTAAAATAGGGTGGCTTGCATTAATATTAGACATAACTGGTTGACGACTTTACCATCTCAGCCAGCCGTGAACATGGGACCTGTAAAGAGCCTGAAAGCATGGTTCGTTTGAACAAATAAATGTACACGATTTAGTCTGATTTCATAATTAAAGCAGTTACTACAAAATATGTTTTTTCGTAGAATCTCCTGTGCGTGACAACTGAAAAAGAGATATTTACAATGATGTTTTTTCCGCTTGGTCTACAGAGGGTGACAAGATATGTAATGGTCTCATAATTGATTTCCACAGCGTTTAGTAGTCTAATAGTTTGACCTACCACATCTCAAGCAGAGGCTGTGGGTTCTATCCGGATTCGCATCTCTAGTTTTTCAGAATTCACGTGTGAAATTTCATTCGATATTTAGCATGAGCATTCCGGTTTAAGGAAAAACATCGTAATGAAACCTGCACGTTGAAGAAGGTTCACAAAACTCGGAAAACGTGTGAAGTCCGTAACCGCATTGGTCTATGGTCTGAACCTTTGCCTGACAGGAAATATGACAATGGTCTAAATCTTTGCTTGACAGGAAACACATGCCCAGAGTCGTACAAAAAGGTTGATGATGATGATGAAGCCCTACTGAAAAGCAGGTGTTGACTTATGACAAGCACATTTCAAACAAGGAAACCGCACGAAAATCTTAAGCACAAGTTATGAAAGATTTACATGATGACAATTAAAACTGCATCAAAAATAGTATACGTATCATACGATTTCCAAAATTTTCTCAACTGCCTTTCCGGTGAAGTCGCTCTCTTTTATTTTAAAAGCACGTTGTCACTGATACCTTTGACTATTTGCTTTACTGGGATTAGAGGACCGTACAATATTGGCAAACTTGGAGCAAACGACGCAAACTACCAACCGGTAGCTGTTTATTAGATTTTGTTGAATACAATATAACTAATGATGCAGTAGACATTGAATTTTGGTCCGACAACTGCACTGGGCAAAATCGCAATAGTGACATACAGCCTTTACCTGTATGCAAGTAATATATATAATATCGACATCACACAAAGATTTCGTGTTCATACGCGGGTTTTTGTGATATTTACATAGTTTTCCTAATGTAAAAGATTCTTGACAAAGTAATTTTATGTAATAAATATTTTATTAGGAAATGAAACAATTTTTTTTCGGGTCTAAAACGCGTATATTTATTATTTCAAACAAAGGTTTGTTACGTTCGTACGTTCGTACGTAAACGTTCGGCTCATTACAGGTCCGGAACCTGACGTCAGTCGTGACTATATGGGACCTGTAAAGGGCCCGAAACGTTGGTTTGTTTGAAAAAACAAATACAGGCGATTTAGAGCCGAAAAAAGAAGAGTTTCATTTCCTAAGTGTGACAATCGCGAAAACCTAAGAAGTCGATTGTTAGTCGACTGTAGAGCACCTTATGAAACAGTTACCTTTACTATTTGTGCCGCCAAATAGTAATGTGAGCATTATTGTAGCAGTGGCTCTCAGATCTTTGCGATTTAAAGCTCTGAGTGGCACTGCAACTGTTATGGATAGGCGTGTAGCTTACTATCAGGCGCAAAAAAAATTTTAAATCATGCTAAGGCCTAAGAAAAACACATAAAATTAGCTATCATGATTGGGTGTCACTTTCACAACACTATTAAAACTTATTATTCTAAGTCAAAATATAACTTCAAACGGGTCTACTGTAAAGTATGCATTTTGTAGTTTCGATACTGTACGTTGCTGGAGTCGAAATGTTTGTTTAATGCAACCAAATAATCGGCGCACGAACGTAATGACTTGTCTTGCTTAAGAACGGGAACAGTTGGCCTAGAGTATTCCGAATGTTGAACAGGCACTAATATACCTAATGCGACCATTTTTTACTTCTTGTTCTACCTGCTGACGTAAGGAGCTGCAAAATAAAGGATTCGTACCCTCTTTTACTTTTAGTTCAACAATTGAATTTTTAAAACAGTCTAATTTATTGGAAAACAATTTCGAGGATTTTTTGTGATATCACGTAAGTCCGCCTCGCAGTAATTTACTGGGCACAGATTTAGTCTAAACTTTGACAACAAAGTCTCTGCCTAATAGTAATGGACCTTACCCTTCACCACGTACACAGTGATATCATGTGTCACCTTCCTATATAAAAATGGTAATTTTAACGTGCCCAGTGTATCGATGTGTCCGCCATTACAGCTCTGTAAAACTAATTTACTCAGCTGCAATTTGTAGTTTGAAAACAATCTTGAGTATCTGCAACGGGGCGTGAGTCATGTTCACCGTGTTCGCCGCTGCTCGCTGCGACCCCAGGCGCGAACTCCGCGTATTCTCAGCGGTTTCTAGCGCCTGATTTATAATGAGCTCTGCCATCTTCATAGTAAAAAGTTTATGGCGTTCAGGTCCGGGTATCATCCCGAGAACAAAACGATCGTGCAGGAGCTCGCCGACCACCCTCGTGCTAAATTCACAATGTGCAGGTAGGCCACGCACGCGAGCTGCCCACTATGCCTTAGTCTCGTTTGTGTTTTGAGTCGCACTGTGGAATGTATATCTTTCCGCAAACCCACACTTTTTAGATTGAAAATGTTCATCGAGTAACTTCACTAAATCCACATAAGCTATTTTTTCGCGTGGTTCCGGTAATGCTAGGTCGCGCACTAATCTGTAGGTAGATTCTGCTAAACTACTCGGCAATATGGCGCGTAGTTTAACACCGCCTTTGTCTCCTTCCTCTGTCAAATCGTTTGCTAGGAACCAATGTTGCTGGCTGTCCTTGTAGGTTGACCATTCGTGCACTTTATGGTTGACAGCTGCTAGCGATCCAATGAAATTTTGGCCATTATTACGCGTATAACTGAATTTTTTCGCCTCGTCGCCATTGTTACATACCACCAGAGGGAGTCACTGGGGAAACAATAATTTAACACAACCACTCTGACACGTATATTGTGACTAAAAACCAGTGTTGCCAGGTTAAATCTGAAAAAATCGGAAGATATTGCACCGAAGAATAAATTTAAATCGCGTATATTTGTTTTTTCAAACAAACCGACGTTTCGGGCCCTTTACAGGGCCCAAAAAACAAATATACGCGATTTAAATCCGGAAAAATAGTTTCATTTCCTATGTGTAACAATCGCGGAAACCTAAGAACTCGATACTCCGATAAATGTTCAATATGTTCAGAGAGTCACAAAATCTAAAAAGCCGACAAAAATAGTTGCAAAAAGCGAAAAATCTGAAAATTCCTAAAAAACAGTAGAATTTCGCTAAATAACAGGAGATGTTGTCCAAAAACAGTAGATACACTGGAAAAACAGTAGACCTGGCAACACTGCTAAAAATCACGCGAGGCGCAGCCGCGTTTCTACTTAGAACTACTCACATAACAGTGCCGAAGGGTCAAAATAGTTTCCACGGTAGATCTGCTCCCTTCGGTACAATCGGTCTACTTGTCTAAATGGCCCACTTTCCCAATTCGTCTATTTCCTATTTTGCTGTAGGTAGTTGAGTAGGGTAGTTCGCAGACCACATAGGATGTATGATAAAAAATGCTACATGTTTTAAAAAATTTCACTTTCCTATAGTAAAAATATACCACAACGAAAGACCATGACGCTAAATTATATTTAATTAATGTATGTAGTTACAGGGTACTGTCCAGTAATTTTATGAATATTATCTACATCCCTGTGCAAACAACAATATCCAATATATAGTGTTCGGTACGTTTGTGTCGGTGAAAATAGCTTGAACATACATATAGAGGTGTTATCGGTAAACCAGGTAATAACTAGGTAATATAACCATAAAGAGATATAGACGATCATAATAGACGGGCAAGTCAGGTTAACTTACATCGCCGAGACCCTGGATGCCCTCTTTCTTGACTGCCTCAACAGCTTTAAGGAACTCGACATAATCCAGCGTGTACGAGTCTTTGATGAAGCGTCGCACCAGCAGGTTGAAATCCTCCGGTGACACGAGAATGCCCATGTAGTTGAGGACACGCGCGAAGTGCGCGAATGTAATTCGCCCGTCGTTTTTTGCCACCTGCATGAATGATAACAAATTTATATTCCACTCGTTATACAACAAACAAAAAACAATTGATGGGTAGTTCTCATTTTCTTCTATACAACATGATGTTCATCGGGCAAGATGAAAAAAATTTTGGCTTATTTTATTCTCAAATTGTTATATAGAATAAACTACAGTACAAAACTTTTTAATGTCGATATTCAGACCTTTTAATACCTCACAGTCAAATTGTAACAAAGAGCTTTGTGTCAAACACCTGAAACATAATGAAACATTTTGGGGCAAAACAAGATTCTCATTGGTTTCATGACGTCAGTAGGAAATGGGCTCGGGTGAAATGCTAGTATGTTGATTATCACCAATTACAGGTTTCTTACCACAGCATGAGTTCATTTTATTTTGCAGATATTTCGGAACGGTTACACGCTCCTTGGGTCGACCCAAGGGTTGAACGACCCGTGACCGTGTGGAGTCAACCCATGACCACATGGAGCGTTTCAAAATATCGGGAAAATAAGAGGAACTCACACCGTACTTAGAAACCTGTAATTGGTCATAATCATTTAGTTTATATAATCATGAAATTCTTAAAATCTGTTGCTAATATATTCAGCTTTAGTGGCCTTACAATTTATATTTAATACGAGGAAAAAACTGAGAAAAAACATCTCATTTTGTCTGATGACACCATGTTCTATAGAACAAAATGAGAACTACCGTGTCTACAAGATTTGGAAAAAGATATATTCAAATGCTTTCTTCCTGTACTACGCAATCCATTTCCTGGTATATGGGAACGAATTATTTTGACGAGTCCAATGAAACTTGATAGATTTTTGGTCCATTGCATTGTAGTATTTATGGTCTAAGTAAGGCAGAATAGCAAAAGTCACATCACCAATTCATAGTCCTGGAAGTAAGGCTTGAGCGGTATCTGGCGATCGGCGATAGTGGCCAGCAGGCAGCAGAGGCGGCGCAGTTGCCACTGGTCCAGCTTGTGGCAGGCGGGCTCGGGCGGCGGCGGGCATGCCTCCAGGAGACAGTCGGCCGACGTTTTGTCGCGCGCGCCCGCATCTATCGGCAGTCATCGAAGATCGATCCACACATTTCCGTTCACAATTTGTTTTGGAGACTTTCAATATAGTATTAAAACGAACTGTTGCGTCTTGTTGTTGTTCTATTACATTTAATTCCCGAATATCTGCGGGTTATATGGGAACGTTTAAAGATAATTCTCAATAAGATGCTAAAGAATCATGAGTGATCCTGAGTAGAAATGACAACAACATGAAATTCATATTCATCTATAACCTTTTTACACTATAATAGGAGAGTTATACAGTTCGTATTATTTTTATAACTTCATGTGATAAAAGAGCTTTTGACGTATGATCTCACGTACCAAGGGTACGATACAATTATATTATTTGTGTTCCATCGTAATTTTCCCTGGCTATTATCGGGCAGGCGAGGCGAGGTCAGCAGGGTAAGGTGGCGGCGGCGCAGTGCACTTCAACATGTTACCAATAAAGTTTCACCTTATCTAATTCATTGTATTGATTAGGCTCTGACCTCAATGTTTAAGCACTGAACAAGTTAATACAGCCCAAGCGTTTAGACCTTGAAGGTATAAGTAAGTATGTATGCATATACTATTTGTACCTTCTAAGATGAAATAAATAAATATGTACCTACGAAGCCGTTTTAAATTTTCAAGACACAGGACTGCGGTTTGCAGAACAACACGATTTTAACGCATTGTTCGGTAGAAAAGCTAATAATGAAATCCTTAGTGAATATAACAAAATTTAATATTTGTTTTGAGGTCCGTTAGCAGGAGTCCGATTACAAAAATTGGTTGGTGTTATCTCCTTTTCTGGAAAGAAGATATTTTATTTTGATAACGTACAAATTTAGAAGGCAGAGTGTAAAATGAGGAAGTCGGTTTTTTTTATTCATTAATTAAGCGCAGGCAGTTATTGTATAATGCAAGCGAAAAAATGTTTTGTACACAAGATGAGAAGTTATCAACTTAGGCGCGGCACTTGTGTAAAAATGGAAATTGCATGTTGTATAAAAGCACAAAACTGTTCAATTTTATATTTTTATATTCCCGATACTTCGTTTTGTGATAAGCATCATACCGTGAATAACTACGAAAGTCTTAAAATCTGCAATAAATGCAGCGAACCACGCTGAGGAGACAACTTAGACACGCGAGCATTCCTTACCTTCGCCGTGTATGATCTGGCAGAGCTGGTGATAGAGCACGCGGCCGTCTTGTGCGCGGAAATAATCCGCCAGCTGCGAGATCTCTGCGTCTGATAGACCTACCACTGACCGCAAGGGGCCCGCCAGCACAGATACAAATTTTGACTCTGTAATTTTCCAACGTTGCGTTATGAGCAATCATACAAAGAAACGATTTGTTTTCTTTCTGTTTAAAATATTAATCTAGTAAATGGGCTTAAAGACATTTTGCAATTACTTTAATTCCTTATAAAAGATGAAGTGAAAAAAATACATTTTCCGTCTTTACGTTGATTCTTTGAACTGTCTTTTCGCAAGAAACGTCTTTTTAGATATTCGCGATATTGTCAGTGTGTTGCCCACTTCAATGAAGTTAGGTAGAGCTGGTCACCGGGAGATTTTGCAAATTTTTAATATTTTCCAACAATCTTCGTTCCTGTTAAACTTTTGAGAATTTGGCAGACATGTTTATGTATGTCTTTACATACGTACATACATATATACAACGAAGATATCGGTAATTTATGCAGAATATGTGATTTTCAAAAACGTATTTGGTACCATTTTTTGATTTCATTTTCATTTACAAGCAATAGTTATTTTCATAGAAATCTATTGTACCGAGAAGGAATAATAGGATAGCTACCGGAGATGAGCGAGTTGCCCTCGGGGTCGAGGGGGCGGTACCAGTCCCAGAGGTTGAGGCCGACGCGGAAGGCGGCTGCGCGGATTTTGTTGCACGTCTTCCACGTGTCGGCCATGCGAAGCATCTGAACACAGAATCGCTCTTAATCCCATTTGTTTCATATGGAACCTACGAACGCACTGTTCTTGCGCACTCTGGCGTTCTGATTTTAATTAATGCGGAGAGGACCTCGGACCAACTGTCACATTATTACATCTCTCCACTACGTCTCCGTTATAAGGCAATAAGAAAAACGTCCTTTTTCTTATGAAAAATAATATTCATAATTTTAAAAAAGCCAATGTTTGTCCCGTGTATGCTCTATTATTTTTCATCCGATTGCTTAAAACATTCGTGAGTTATTGTGCTCACACCAAAAAGCAAAAGTTTCTAAATTATTATTATTATATATATTGTACTTGACGCCCTCGGTGGCCTAACGAATTGCACTGTAGGCGCTGGATGAGGAGACTGCGAGATCAATACCCGATAGGACCAATTTGGGGAATGATCTTTTCTAAATGGTCAGGTGTTCTGGCTAGTGCCCGACGAGGCAATTTGGTTGCTCGGGCACTCATAGTATACGGAATTACTTTATGGCAGAAGACCAGGTAATTGGTGTGGTTTGTCTAGCTGTATTATATCCATGTTATATGTATCTGTATTATATTAGATTCTTCGTCCGAAACAATTACCGTCAAATAAGAACACTCCACTAAATTTAAAAGACGTACGATACGAATGACGCTTCATACTTATCATTGTCTTTGGTTTTGGTCGAATATCTCAATAATTGTTTCGGACAGATATCGAACGTAGAACAAGAGTAGACCCCCTGGGCAGTGGGCACGCGTCTCCTCTACGAAGAGGTAAACGTAAATACTTTTTTGGTGCAGTAGCGTTGCAGAGTACGCTGGGTACAAAAATTAGTAAAGTAAGGTAAGTAATTAGTAAAGTGGCGTTCCGTGGTCTCTGCCTACCTCTCCTGTGGTGTGTGTGTGTGTGTGTGTGTGTGTGTGTGTGTGTGTGTGTGTGTGTGTGTGTGTGTGTGCGTGCGTGCGTGCGTGCGTGCGTGCGTGCGTGCGTGCGTGCGTGCGTGCGTGCGTGCGTGTGTGTGCGTAAAAATTATCTATACATCTATAATATTATTTGAGCGAAATACTGAGCGCGCAATACAAAACTGTTATGTTTTGTCGGATGAGTAGGAATTATTCGAAACAAGATATAAATTACTAATTTCTTTGTTGCCTCTCTGTCTCATAAATTTTTCAAACCGTGCATTAGTAATGCTCGGAAATTGGAGGACACGCACCGAGCTAATAGTATCGCGGTACAATCTTCAGACATTCCCAATTGATGAATGCTCTCTACCCTTTGATATTTAACCACGGTCTTTGAATGCATGATAAGACTTTATAACGCTACGTATAAACATTAGTACCTATTAGTTGCTATATAAAAGTAAAAAGAGGGAAAGTTATCGCGCATTGATGAGGGAAGCTGCGATGCGCTCATTCGTTGATAGCGTTTGCTACAGTACAGTTCACATTTCCATAAACTACTTTAGCAAATATTAAACTTAAGCTATATGAAAAATTTCATGTAGCTTAAATTTATCATTATATAGGTAATATATTATAGGTACATTTACGTTAAGGCCTTACCAAATCATGCATTTTGGTGGTGTTACGTGTTCCTTTTCAGCGAGAAAATGCAAACGCTCGAAGCGTCAATTGTGTTCAACAACTTTGACATATAATTTTAACGAAATTTGTGGTATTTCACTAGAATTTTGAGGGTTTTGTAAAAACACATCTACAGACAGCTTATGTTAAGGGGTTATGTTAAAATGTCAGTGTTGAGCGAATGCTATGGCGGCTTTCTAGATCAGAAAGTTCGAATGTGGAACTGGGGCTGTAAAGAGATTTTATGAAAAAAATGCTTTTCTAATATTTTCGTCTCAATTTTTTTGATGCGATATACACATATGCGAGAGTGAGGCCGAAGGATGCAAGCACACGATTAATGCATGCACAATGACTATTTCCTATTGGCGTCAAAATTCGATCGGTACAGGTGAATACGAAGCCCTGAAACTATTTATACTTTGTAGGGCGAGCGGCCATTTCTACTCATCAATCAATTTGTCAATGGAAGCGAGGTACAGGGTCTCCTATCGCCTGGGATTTTGTGATAGCAGCGCATCGTACATTGCTCGTTCGCTGCTAAAAATGTATTGGTAAGTCTGGAAAGAGCTGGTAATGTAAGGTACTCAATCGGTAGCGGACTCGCGTAGCGTGGTGAGTACGGGGCGTGGGAGGCGCAGGCGGCGAGCATGCGCGCGGAAGGTCGTGTCGGGACCAATGACGTCAGGCGCATCGATCGGCGCCACCTGCCTCAGCCGTCGCCGCCCGACTCGCCCCGAGCACGTGAAGCGTCTCCCGCGAGATGTGCCCGCGACTTACGTAATTCGCGCGACCACCGAAGTGTTGATGTCTGTGGAGTCGGGCACGCGCGCTCATGTGCGGGCTAAGCTTTAGGACCAGAAACAGCCCTTCGCAAAAAACCTCTCTCCGATGGGGAGACAGCTGCTGCTGCCCCGCCAGGCCTAGCATCTGATCCGACGTCGCCCGCGCGCCAGTCTCTTGCATAGCAGAGTACTCGTAACGCCGTTACCGCCGCACTGATCGCTGCCGTGCAATGCGTGAACGATAGTGTTAAATTTTGATGAATATATTTTTTGAGATGGTTCGTGTTAATATTGTTGTCGTCGTACTCTATATGTGCGTGTAGCATTATGTGGGTGGAGTGGTGAGGACGTTGCGAGTGCACCGGGCGAGAGCCTCCGCGCTGGTCGGCGAGCGAGGATTTTACTGCTACTGTTAATAGGTGAGCACCTGAATATTAAATTGTTGTTTTCCAGACGAAACTGTCTAGCGAGACAAATCACTGTCGCGGCTCTCACCAGGTGATCGCTGATTAAATTGGTAGCATTCGCGAGGTCAAACCTAAAGTCAATTGTGACCCCTGTTTCGCAAATGTGCAATGCTATTTCTGAAATAATCCATGGGGCGAGAATTGATTTTATATGTTATCACTGTTAATTATTTGATATTAAAAACCAAGAATATATTTTTCAGTGGAGGTCACGACATGGTTCCACGACGAACTCGCGCCCGTACAAAGGTCATCGGCTATTTTTGCAAGTAAACTGCGGCACTAATTGCGATCGCGATAAATGCACGTCTGGGGGTGTGTGGGCGAAAAGTTAGTTTATAATGTATTCGTAGCAACTGAATAATTATTTGAAGTTTGAAAACACTTTCTAAATTTCCGTAGTGCTTTAACAATAAAAGGAATGAAAATTAATGTAAAACGAAAGTAATGACTTTTGAAAGAGAGGAAAATAATGACGGATTCCACTATATTTATTGAAGTTGAGAAAGAGGAACGAGTGTATTTGGGTTCTATGATTACATGAGTTGGAAGATATAAAAGTGACATTGAAAGGAGAGCAAATTACCTGCATTTGTGTTTGGTGAATGGTGTTTGGCGATGCCTGTCTTCATGAGCAGCCGGAAAGTATCTAAAAAGGCGCGACTGGCTGTGCGTGGAGGGGTGCTGGTTCCGACACTTATGTGTATGGTAATGAATGCTGGGTTTGAACTGAGAGCTTTGAGAAATATGGGTGCAGTGACTCTGATGGATAAATTACGGAACACTGTGATAAGAGAGCGTTGCACCGTGGAAGAAGATGTAGTTACAAAGATAGGGAAAGGGATGCCTAGATGGTTCGTTCGGATTTGTGGAGAAAATGAATGAAAGAAGGTTGGCGAAACAGATTTATAAGTCGGGTGTGAGCGGGTGTAAGGCCAACATACCACGACCAAATTGAGGCCATCCTAAAGAAGGGCCAGGTCAAGAGTATCCTTTACCGACGTGTGAGTATGAAAGCACTGATGCATGTTGATGAGGCAAAGTATGTGTCGGACCGTAGTAAGTGGAAGGCTGTTGTTTCTGTATACCTCGGCGGGAAAAGGGCGTGAAGTATATGCACTCTGAATGTAGCAACGGCGACCTAAGAACTCGATAGTTTCATTATGTTTCCTAAACATGTGTAATAAATAAGTTAAAAATAATGTAAGATTCTACTCAAAGTCCAGAGCTGAACATAAACATAATAAATAAAAAAATAATAAAAAAAATAAAAAAATAATAATTCTTAATTAAATCAAATCTAATCAAATCAAATCAAATCATTTATTTCTTTGTGATACACAGGTTATAAAGTTGTTACAAGAATGAATTTTGAATCACTGTGATCCGCCTTATGGCATACAAAGTTTTCTTAGTTTTAGTAATTCTCATGCAATAATTTGTAATAATATTATAATCATGCAGTCCAATTAATGCAACCTATTACTAATGAAACATAGTAACAATAGTAAAATAATCAATAACAAATTTAATAATATGAAATGTAAATTTTATAAGAAATCTTCAATGTTATAGAATGTCCAATCATTTAGGTAATTAAATAATAATTTCTTAAATTCTGCACAATCGTTGCAATTCCTAATTTCAAGTGGAAGTTTGTTATAAACCTTCGTAGCCATTACTATTACACTCTTTTGAAGTAGAGCAGTTTTACATGATCTACTTTTCAGTTGATGAGATTAATTAATTTATTACTTTGTCACTTTTTGACTCATTATTCTTCATCGTATCGTGTCGACGGCATACGCTGCATGCTTGCCATCGCAGTGAAAGGATTTACCAATCGGCGTATGACAGGTTGCGTTAGACGTACAGGAAAGAGATGGTATGTCGTGCGGGGAGGCTCCTTTCCTGCATCTTATATATAGAGAAAATATGGGACAAGCGGTGATTATAGCGCATTCTCTGATTTCCTCCAGTTCGGTCAGGAGTATAATCGTCTGATGCGCACATTGGTGTTCAAAATTATAGAATGCGCTTTCGGTTGTCCTCAGGCGCCATTTAAGCAGTCAAGATGATAAACATAGCGGGCGTAATCTCCATCGTACTGTTCTACGTGCTCATTTTGGCCGTGGGCATCTGGGCGGGGCGCAAGAAGCAAGAAGGGAACGATTCCGAGGAGGAGGTGATGCTGGCCGGCAGATCTATCGGGCTGTTCGTCGGCATCTTCACTATGACTGGTACGATTTGATATTATGATTTATTACCGTTTGTGTTTGCCACGAGGAAATCTATCACCTATTATCATATTTATGTTTTGATAGCTGCGTTCGTTTTATGTTTACAAACCTCGTGCTGAGCTCTTCTTTGATTTCGTATCTCCGTCGGTCTTTGTTATTTTGGCAAAATCCGCAGACCTTGACAACAATCTTGGATCCCTACTCACTACTTAGTATCAAATAAAAGGAACTTAAGAAGAGCAAACAATCGGACTAGGAAAAGCTCTTTCTCTGTAACTTGTTTCAAAACAGTAATTTGTCATTTCAAAAGAATAAGAGCATTTCAGTCTCCACATTTTCCTAGTTAATACTAAAAGAAGAATGTTCGACTCTTAGCGCTGACCATTCCACACGACGCCATGAGGTCATTTTAATTGCGATAAGTGGCTGTATTCATTCTATTGATTGAATGTCACCAATGTGTACTCATGGGCATGGTCAGAAACAAGTATATCAAACTTAAAACCCTTGTTTACTGCGTTTGATGCCGTTACGTAACCGCCTTGTAAATTATCCACCGCGGCATTTGTAATTTTTGTTTCACATCAATAAATTCAGTGGACTCAATCGGAGTAGTTCGTAATGTAGGTATCCTTTTGTCACATAAATAATTTCGTAATATTATCTAAAAGGTAGCACCGACAACAGTTGCTACTTTTACCTCTCTTAGTCCCTCAGCGATATTGATTTTATGTTTCATACAACTGCCGTGCTCTATATTTATGTAAGTGTTTGATAACTTAAGACGATTAGCCTGCATTGTATCGTCTGATTAATCTGTCAATATAAGGCTGTGGTATGAAGTGAACGCAAACAACAAATCAGAACGGTTAAAGACTCGTTTTGAGATGCTACAGACTACGGCGACGACAAATGACGCGTAGCGTGATTTACGTAGTAGATAATAACGATAGAGCACTTCAAAATGAAAACGAAAATTTAAAATTTCTTTAGCTCAGCTACTTCGAAGCACATTGCTCTCGCATATGTTATTCCGCCACAGTTCGTAATGGCTAAGAATACACCAAACATTTACTTACAAGCAACTGCGCATAAATGACACAATAAAAATAAATTAAAAATCTAAAGCATTCACGAACAGTATTACCTACAGCACATAAGGTGCAAATGAAAAGAAACCTGCATCCCGGGATTGCTTGTCCAATGACCACTGTGAACATTTCCGTCTGAATGCCAACCATAATTGAGACACTTGTAGCTTTAACAAATCCCTATCGCTTGCAAAAACATGTCAATGCACGTAATTTGCATAGACGTATGAGTTTACGTAATAATATGATGTAAAGTTAACATAATAACATACTAAATAAATTAAAGGTAACACGCAAAAGAGGCATTTTGGCTATTGGTCGTTGAATTATTATTATTATTATATTACGCAAAGCCACATAGGGGTCAATTGGGTCAATCAACTTTTTTATCACGTCTAAAAAATGGCATTTGTTAAAGGTAATCTGAAATGATAGTATGATAGTTATCATATCCTAGTCTTATCTAAGATATGAAGAGACGTTTATGCATTATTTTTGAAAGTGTTAATAACAAACTTAATCTTACGTCCAGTCCCTACGTTTATTGCGGTACCGGAACTTACTGTGTGTGTGTATACGCGTATATGATAAGGTTGTAAGAAAAACATTGTTATAATTTTTTATTTATTATTACCTCTTTCATGCATAATCAAACAAATTGGGTCTTCTAGAAAATATTCATTATTATGGAGTAGGTACTATTTATATGAAGTTTTGTCTCTTGTGTGACACAAGAGTCATCTATAAAGTCATTTTTCTTTTGGATACACACTTTTATTAATCATAAAAAAAATTGCTCCATTTAAAAATGTTGGGACAACCGAGAGTTAATAAAAAAGTTGATTGACCTATAAACGTGTTAGTAAGCTTCAATTGTGTTTAAAGTAAATGTTTACTTTTATTCAGAAAAAGCTTCTATTGCATTAAATTGCTATTAAAGGTTCCATCATTGATTCGACAACCAAAACTCGCAAGAGTGTGTAATTTATGGTTAGCTCTCGCCGCTTATGTTCAAACTAGCAGCTATTTTCGGCATATACTTTCTATCTCTTTATATGAAAAAAAAAACCAAAATAAAATGATGCAATTTCCTGACCATTCAATGAACTTTATTTCCACCACCGCCACTGAATTTGCAGATCGTTAAAATGTGAATCACATGAGAAGAGAACACGATTTTGTTGCTCGGCAAAACACGTGTTAAATCGATAATACGAGAATAGCGAGACCCATTTTCTACCCATACTTGGACGTTGCTGTCAATTTTTCTTATCACTTTCGTTTTCAAGATAATCTGAAGAGATAAAACTAACACATGGTTTAGTTTACTTACTATACTGTTACTTTTAAACACATTATTTAGTTTACTAATGTAGATTTAGCATTCATTGCTTATTTTACTATTTCAATGCAATTTGATCAATCATTATAAGCGAAACAAATCAATAAAAGCTATAACTTTCGTAAGTACTCAATCATTCACCCTGTTTGTAAATAATACCGCACCGAAAGTGCTACGGCGTAGCATGACCGCTTACCCAAGAATGAAAGGTTGCGAAGCATCTAAGTATTGTAGATTACGAGTGTGTTATGCGGTTGTGATAAAGGCATTAAAATTTCATCATACGGGAGATAAAGAAAGTCACTAACGGAAGGTCGAAATGGGTCGAAATCGTGGGAAAAGAACAAATCTTTTCATTTCCACGAAGCAGGCGGCAATCTTGCGGAAATATGAGCTCGTACCGGAAGTAATGCACGAACTTTGGACAATGGTTTTTGGTCTTAGAGGATGGAAAAAATTGTCTAAGTTTTTGGGCGGCAATATCATATGTAAAGCCTACGTCAGATATTCATTTGCGACATCGAAAGAAGGTTGAATAGGGTGTAGAAAAGTTCCGATTACGGTAATGACAGTTCTCTATTGTCTGATTGAAGCCCGACGGCAGTCACTGCCGCAACAAAATCTCATAAAATAAATAAAAGAAATGAAGAATAAGGTGTATGGCTTTAAGCCAAAGTTGTTAAAGGTTTCAACAAAAAAATGTCCCGTAGACATTCTCAAAATTTATTTGATCAAGATGCGTTTATCGCGGAGGTCTTTATTCCATTCTATTGTGGGAGAAAATAAATAAATTTATGTATTTATTATAATTAATGCGCCACTACAATAGGCCGTCAGATATGGCCGCGTTACCTAGCAGATGGGAGACTACAGAACCTAAGTCGATCTCTCTCTAAGCAGTAGCTTAATGTAATGTAATGTAAATGTGACGTTTTCAAGTGTAAATTTATTTTACTTATGGAATAAATGATCTTTGACTTTGACTTGACTTCTCCTGAAATAACAAGTTAATTTACTAAAAAAATGACTTATTGAGTCACCGTTTTCTTGAGACAAGAATTACGTTTAGACAAAACGTCCATTTATTCTTTCGTTTAGCGTCTCAAAAAATATTATATTGTAGAAAGGAAATATATTTGAAGAAAGTTAAAAAACGTTATTGGAAAATAGAAAAAACAATTGAAAAGAAAAATAGGAATAAGTTATTTTATTAAAAAATGTACAAACCTTAACAAAATACACTAGAGAAATCCCGCCTTGGCATACAGGAAGTGTACTCCCGTTCTCCGTCCCACATCTGTTTGTAACAATTACTGTCAAATAAGTAATACTCGTCCAAATCAAAAGAATGTCCTGTATGAAGCTTCATTCGCATCATGCATTTTTGAACTTGGTCGAGTATTAAATAAGTGCTTATTTGGCGATAATTGTTTCGGACGAATTTCGGACGAAGAGTAGACTCCCAGGTGTGGTTCGTTTTAATTTTGTAACACACATTTGCTTGAGTCCGGCATTAAGAGTGTATCAGCTAAAAAAATGTCACTGAGTTCTCGAGACGCCTCTCAAGATATTCTGCATTAACAGATTATTATCATTGCCAGATGTTAAGTACTATTCTAAGTGACGTAGACTCTGCATTTGGTTAATTATGGCTGAATAACAATCTTTGGCCGCGGCTCAAGTACGTTACATTTATTACCTTCACTTGAAATAGGTGAGGCATAGGTGAGGAGTTTTTTTTATTGAAATGTGTTCATACCAGCGGAAATATCTAAGATTATTGTTACCTTTCGTTAACTTTGTATGCAATGTACCATTCAAAATAGTAACATTTTTTGAAATAAGAAATTTAAAGAGAATTAACTTGAAGTTTGACTCACAAATATTTTTCAAATTTTATTGCGTTCGACAAATGCGTTATTTTGTTTTCATGCGACTTGAAAAAAGGAGTAGGTTCTCAATTCGTTAATATTTTTGTGTGTGTATGTTTTACGCGGTTACCCCGACGTTAATTGTGAACCGATTTTGATGATTCTTCTTTTGTTGGAAAAGGGTGATATTCCACCTCGAAGGGTGACAAATCTAGGGTCGAATTTCACCCACTTTCCGTTAACCGATTTCAACAAAACTCGGCACATAGATGTAAATCCAATAAAAGTAATCTGAGCTGATCTGATGATGGGAATGGTGGACAGATGAGAGGAACTCCTCAAAAGTGTATAGCGGCTACTTTGACTTTGGGCCCATACGATCCGTTTTGACGAGAACTTCCACATGCATTGCAATTATCGTTGAGGCGACCGCGGTAACGAAAAGCAAATTTTTGAGGCCGGTTTTTTTATTTCAAAAAATTCCTATGATACCGCTATTAGGTATACTGCTATGTGTAAGGTTAACGGTTTTTATTTGACAGCAACGTGGGTGGGCGGCGGCTACATCAACGGCACGGCGGAGGCCATCTACACCTCGGGCCTGGTCTGGTGCCAGGCGCCTTTCGGCTACGCGCTCTCGCTCGTCTTCGGTGAGCGTTTGCCTTTAGTACTCACCGTCTGTTATATTTGTCTGCCCGCTTAACTCTTGCTGTGTGTGGTTCTCTGTACCCCATGTACAGGGTACACCCTGTTCTAATTATAAATATACAACAATGCCACTTCTGCGTTAAGTTGTTGACGTTGTTTCAGTTAAATGATGACAAGATTTGCTTGGTCGAGAATTAGTAAATCCTTTAATAACCTTACAATGACTCATTTACACGTGATTGAAATTGGCGGTCTACCATCATGCATGCCGTTATCCATACCATCATGCATGCCAATAGTATCCAATTGCTTGATATTGCTAGGAAAATAATGTTCGATTCGCTTATGAGTGAATAACGAAATAAAACAGGCCCACAGTGGGTGCTTCATTGATGTCATGATCGTGGCGCGCAGGTGGCATCTTTTTCGCGAACCCGATGCGCAAGCAAGGCTACATCACGATGCTGGACCCGCTTCAAGATTCATTCGGCAGCCGAATGGGTGGGCTGCTGTTCCTGCCTGCGCTCTGCGGGGAGGTCTTCTGGGCTGCGGGCATCCTCGCCGCGCTCGGTGAGTCCATAACATTTAAATTTTTTGTACATCGCATATCTTCTAAGACGAAGCAACTAAAATGGTTTGCAACACAAAGTATTCACTACACATATTGTCTTTATTTCACGGGTAAGTAAATCACATTTGAAATCGTTATATTGATCAAATTTTACTATTCATTTAAAGGCAGCTTATTCTTTGCGAATAAACATTTGTCACTACCTAAGAACTGTCGTGATCAAAAATGCAACTTTTGAAAAGGCTTCCAATCATGAAAATACCAGCTCTACATAATAAGTCTTACTGAATTTGACTCCCGTGGGGGAAGCAAAATATGTACGCAAAATTAAATATCGCACTTTATGTGTGAAGTGATATTCAAACATATCAATATATTAATTTAGAACAGTTAAAATGTTGTATTAATAACAGCATTCTGCATTGAGCTGCAGCGCCGCCGACGGCGCGGCCGTTCAGCGAGGCCAATCTGGCATTGCGCTAATGGACGACGATAGCATCTGTTGAAACTGGGCTTTGCCTGAAATTTATGTTTTATGAGCTATTTTTGGTTGCATAATCTTAATAAAAAAATTAAAATAGTTATAAAATTAATAAAAAAATTATCAAAGTAACAACTGTCTATACTCTTACTATGGATTACCAAAATTTTTGCCAGAAGTTTCATGTCCAAAAAAAACGCTTTAACCAGAATATACGAGTAATCTTAATTAGTATGTCTAAATCTTATTTTCATGTGTGTGACACGATATATATCACGATAGATTATCCTTTTACATTTTGTCCGTCTAAAATAGCGGTCTCGCTGTGGGTAGAGCAAAGTGCAAAGGGCAGACGAAGGTAAAATATTCATACCTCCTCCCTCCGTTTTGCTACATCGCTCCGCCCCGTCGCAAATAATCTTCACTGTTATTAGACTTGGGGAAAAGCGTTACATTTCTATCACCGTGACAATCGTTCCAGTTATAAAAAAATCACAGCGACAAATCACCGTGATTATGTCACGCGTGTCACTTATATCACAACAAACGGTTTTGGCAAGCGGCTACTTTTTATTAATCGTTACGCTTAATTTCGTCTGAAAAATGGATCCGCAATAACCTTCACAGTTTCACAGGCTTGTCGCATTATTGGTTAATAAGACATGCGGTGTGTTTATGATTTTGGGTCAATTTTGTACAATTATCTTATTTGTGTTTACAGTATTTACACGGTATTTACGCTGATCTAATTATTTCTTAGTTCGTAATTAGAATTAAAAAATAAAAGTGAACTACAAGGAGTAGCGCACTCGCCAGTCTCTACGGTAGAACGGAGATCAAGCATGATTTTGTTTGTAAAATACGTCGTATATTACTTTGACATGAGTGACGGAGACAGTGGAACGGAGATACCTACTATTTCTGTGATTTTTTCATCGTGACGTTGTCTATTATCCACCTCTAACTGTTATTGATGCTCTCTCCGGCAAATACTTTTGTGTCTTTATTTGATTATTTGACTTTATTTGACTGATGTAAAAACTTATGCGTAATATCACATTTGGCACACAATTTCATTGATATTACAATTCACAGTTGTGTGGGGAGCACTCAGATCTTCGGGTCGTATTCCAGAACTCTACTCAATGCTCAAATCAGGACTTGAGTATGATTTAAAGCACTGAAAATCATACTCAAGGCCTTGCCATTAGGGTCAAATTTCCAGTGATTGAAATCATACTCAAGTGCTGACTTGAGCGTTGCGTAGAGTTCTGGAATACGACACTGAATGTATGATTATCTGCCAGAATCTGCTTGGCACGAGCTATGGTCTCTCTATGATGGTCTCGTGGTGGGTGTCGTTATTGACACCAGAAAAAATATTTAAGATAAATTACGACGACCCTTTAAAAACTGGTTCAAACTTGTTTTAACGAAGCCAATAAACTATGTCAAATGACGAAGAAGTCTTGTTAGTCTCAAATCGTTGCTTCTTTTTGTCCGTCAGTTATTGTCGGATATTTTTTTTAGAACACGTCACAAGAGCCATTTAATGAATGAGCATTTCGCCTGTGGGGAAACCCGTCTCGAGGCACATTGCGGTATCATTACTTCGACATTGGCCAACCGTGTATTTTATCTAATTTGGGTATAATTAACCTCTAAATTCCCGTGTGTACAATGTGCGATATTAGTGTTTCGTGTGTGTATATACAAGTCAGAATGTAATAAAAAATAACCAATTAGCAGTATAATAAACACACCTGTCTAAATTATACTTAGTACATTACTAGTTTTATTTTGTTTCGGAAGGAATACCGGCTTCTAATAATAATAATATTTTTTAATTTTTATTGAATTGATATTCAATTATTTTTTTGTGAAATTCCTCCACTAGTTTGTTGTAATTATTAATGCAAAGATCGAACACGGGCGGATCGAAGGAATTTTTTCTGAGTGTTCGATCTTTGTATTATAATAATATACATATTCGGGAAATAACGCCTCTCCCATATACAAATTCAAAATTAATCTTTTAGGCCTTGGGAGAGGCGAGAGTCTAAAATAATAATAATAACGCACACATTCAACATAGCCACGCACTAGGGAAACCCTGTGCCGCGGGTACCATGGACACACACAACCACAAATTACACCCAAACTCACGAGATAAATAAATGTAGGGCATACAAATATTTCTCCCGGCCCGGGGATAGAACCTGGGACCTCTGCGTGCCAGTCCGACATGGTCACCGTTCGGCCACGAAGGCAGCTAAATTAATTAAGGTCTGAATTATTCCAATTCAACACATTTACTTCTTTTAGATCGCCGATCTCGAGCTTATCCCAATGGGAGAAAATCGATATCTCACTTGTGTTGGCACCTGCCGACGCTAAAAACATTTCGGAATCGGATTGATCAAAGAGCTATTTCCCTTTTTGTAAATGTTCAATGGAATACAATACAAATATAAATTTATTTATTTCCTCCCGACAGCTCAAAATATTACAATGACAGCTTGTATAGATATATTCGGCGTCCCATCGAAAACGAAAGGGACAACGATAAATATTAATTCCTTTTAAATAACAATTCAGGCATCATAAAAGTACAGGATGTTTTTTTCACATTTGTTTGGTTCGATTCCCAGACGAGGTAAGCAACTTTAAGTCTTTCAATACTTTATTACTTACCTACTTTTAAAAATAAAACAATGTCCATGAAGCAAATATCCTAAGCACAATATTTAAAGAACTTTCCCGCCATATCCCACAGCCGTGGGATGCTCTGCAAATGTTAACAAGGTTATAGTGAGGGACTGGTATTTAATCTAAAACCTGTAAAACCTATGTTATGGATTTAGTCCACCCCGCAGAAGTAACAGGCAAATTGTACGTAATTTTTTAACACATACCCGTCCAATAAATCGTCGCTTGGTATTAGGTGATGTTGTGGCCAAGTGTGAGTGCTTATAAATATATAATAATATATAACGTATACATACAGTTACCAAACCTTTATGTATTACAAAAGTTCAACAAATGGGATCGGATTTAAAAAGGATAAAAAATAAGGTTCTTTGTGTCTAGAAAGAACCGAAGTATATATTTATATGTCTAGGTAGTATATTAAATCACTTACATTACGAGTATGTATGCTATTATTTAAATTTTCCGTGTCATCCCTATGGCCTAGGTGGTACGCGCCTAGATGGTCGCTCCATTAGGTATGTGGGGGGAAAAGGAAGTGAGGTTGTAAATGTTTCCACGGCAAGAAACGCATAGACGCCTTACAGGATGGAAAATAGTTTAAGATAGACGCGAACTTCGCCGTAGACTCATACGCAAAAGAGTGTTTGTTGTATAAATATTTTTAGGTTGGTACACACACTTCTTGTTGTCAATCGATGGTATTTAGCCCAATGATATTATCTATCACAATAGAAACCAGTCAATGGCTCCAGGTATTTTATCTCGCTATATGATAATCCTTCCACGTTCATTCCTAAACTCACCAATTTCTTCAAATTATGTAAATTATGTATATTCCCCTTTTTTAATAGTAATTATATCTTGCGGGCGTCTCACATAACATATTAAATACTTGTCTATACACAAATGTTTGGTATACACCTGTGGTATACACCTTTTTCAATATAACTCCAATCTGTACATCATCAAAATTCACAATGTATAAAGTTTGTACTTTCTTACTTGGTACTCCCACAATAGCCGCTGTGTAGCAGAACCTGCAGAAGCCTCTAAGAGTCGTATTCTAGAATTGTACTCAATGCTCAAGTCAGGATTTGAGTATGGTGGTATGGCACTCGAAATCATACTCAAGTCCCTGTCGTTAGGGTCGTATTTCCAGTGCTTGAAATCATACTCAGATCCTGATTTGCGCATTATATTTTTAGGATGATGTTGGGGCTGCCTAGTTTTTGCAGTGCGTCGGGGATGTTTACAGAATATGAGACGGATGGTTTTGCTGCCATCCTCCGAAAAAAGACAGCCCATCCCTGATGCGCAGGGTGCGGGACAGCCCCAACAGCATCCTACAAACTGTAGCTGGTAGGATCACCTCTCCCATGTGGCAATGCTTCGTAAGGAGGGTGATTTAACCAATTGATGATGTACAAATATTTACTAACACTAGTTTATAAGCTCTTTTCTATTATTATTATTATTACTAACAAAATATGGAACTTGTTGTCCGAAATAAAAGTATTTTATTTTATTTATTGAGTAGAGTTCTGGTATACGACCCTAAGATTACTAAGCTGAACTACTTTCGATACTCGTGAAATCAGAACAGGACACTGGCAATAAGCAAAAAGAAGGAGAAGAATAAAACCAATCGGAGACATATGACGCCATTAATTCTCTCCGCCAGCCGCTTGTGTAAAAACTAAACCGTACCGTATTTTGCGAACTAATGCATTTTTTGCAATCGCGCTCGGCTGTTCAAAAGATTTGTCGGTTTATAGAGAAGCTTGTAAAAAAGAAAAATATTTATTATCTGTGTTTTTTCGAACTACCTCGGCTAGGCGGGCTTTCTTAAAGCGTATAAGTTTTTGATTTCGTTCGAACATTTAGCGATTTCTCAATTGAACCGTGGGGAACTGATGGCGGATTAGGGTCATCTCAACTTACCTTTTGTTAATTAGCCTGATCTGTTATCTTTGACCTTTTACACAGCTGAAATGTATTTATGGTAAAATTAGCAAAAGTTTATGAGTATAAACTTTATTGTGAAACAAACATAATTTAATTATTCTCTAACCCTTTGAAGGTCTGAACGTTGAATTTTTTTCATTTGTTGACTCGTGGTGGTATTTGTAAGTTTATTTTTATTATGTTTTGGAGCATTACAGAGATTATGCAGTAAAACTTGAAATATTACTATATTTCAACTTCTCTCACGCGTTTATCCGCCTCTGTCACGGTAACTTAAACCATAAAAGCATCTAGGATTTGGTTATGTACCAAATTCTCGATACATTTATGTAAGCACTGATAGTACACGGATTTTTTACAAAGACCGCATACGTATCTCTTTGCTCCTTTTTACATTACAAATACTTGAATTACCTTTTTTTAACTTTTCTTTTATAAAAAGGCCCTAAAAGGCCTTTCATCATTGTCGAATATGTCAAAGAAACAATAAAATCCAAGCAGATGAATCAAAATACTACCTAAGGTAGAGCCACTCTGTACACCGCTTTAAAAAAAGGCATGTCGTTGCCTGTGCTCAAATTTGGAAAACAATTATTGTCAAAAGTTCACTTGCCGGGTGTCGGAGATTAACCTGAAATATCGAAAATCAATTTAAATTTCTACTTTATTTTATATTTCAATATGTATTTCCATCTAATGTTACATTTTGCTTACATTATTAAACTACCCTCTAAAAGTTTCGCTGTAGCGGTTTCGTAGTTATCTACTTGTAATAATTAACTTATTAATTCCCCGAATGAGTCACCCACACGTGTATATAACTCTTAGCATCAGTCTTTTCATACCCGCCTTGCTATTCATAGTACCTCCTGGACTTTTTAAGTCATCCTCTACTGGTTGAGATGTGTACGTTGAGGCCGACCATTTCCCGAGTTTCCCAAGTAATGTCGCAATAACGAAGGCTAACATTCAAAGTAATCAATTAACTAAAATAACATAAACTTCAGTTTGGGAGCTCGGCACTCGCGGCCGAATCGCCGACATTCATTTCATCAATCATTTCAGGCTCGCGCGCTTGAATTAACAAAGTTGCGTAGTTTGAAAATAATTAGGTAGTTTGTACGCGCTTCAAGAACTGAAGACTGATAAGAATACCCTTAGTCGAAATTTAAGTACGGCCACTGTTATTTATTGTATCAATATAAACCGACTCATAGGATACTTATAAAATACATAAGTACATATTAGAAGTATTTTATATTTTAAATAATTAGTAATTACTGATGTCTATAGCACAAGCGTTAGCGTTATCGTCACAACGCACAGAATACCAATAAGGTAACGTAGCGTCCGTCACCTTATAACCTAAATAAGTTACATGTAATGTTTTATCGTGACGAATGTCAAACTTTTACGGAAGGGTTTAAGGTAAGTATTTGATGATGTTACAATTGCGCCCTATCTCGCCGCTCACCCTGTATGTTAATTTTGGGTCGAGTTACGCTTTGAAATACATTATACTTAAATTAACATTGGGGTTGCTGTTATCTTTTATCAATTTCATAATGTACTTATTATTATTAACTTACACTTAACTAATGGAACACAAAATCAATACAGTATGAATTTTTTTATTATTGACGTTATGCGCTAATATCGCCACAAACGGTCGTCGCGTAAGTGATAATAATATAATATAGGCAAGTCGCAAAGAAAAAAAACGAGTATCAAAGCGATTATTTTTGCACGTGACATAACAAACCAAAGAAAACGAATCAAATACAAGCACCAAAAATATGTCACCTGCACTTTTATTTCTGCCTTTAAAATATATTACGCTGGCCTCGAAAAGCGCGTCTAGTGCGCCCTCATTCATGGAAGTCATGAAAGGTCAAAAAAACCGATTTAACCTAACATTCATAGTGTTACCTATTATGAAAAATGTGTATATACTTTACACTTTTGTACCATACTGATTACTAAATACGAAGTAGGAGACAGTAGCTGCAGCTGCTGCTGCTGCTGCTATACATACTGCAACTGTAACCAGAACTCCCATCACTTACCGGTAGTGGGTTTCCAGTATTGTAATGCCAGTCGTTATGATTCTCGTAGCGTATCTTACTAAATATGTTCGTCCCCAGGTGCAACACTAGCAGTAATCATCGACATGGACCACCGCACGTCAGTGATCTTCAGCGCGTGCGTGGCTGTGTTCTACACGCTTTTTGGCGGGCTGTACTCCGTCGCGTACACCGACGTCATCCAGCTGTTCTGCATCTTCATCGGCCTTTGGATGTGTATCCCATTCGCGTGGGCCAATCAGCACGTAAAACCGCTGTCCTCTATGGATGTTGATTGGATAGGACACGTCAAGTCCGAATACTATTGGTTCTATGTGGATTATGGCTTGCTGCTAATCTTTGGAGGAATTCCGTGGCAGGTGTGAATGCATACCTTCTCTTATAACTTGTACCAGTATGAAGCAATGGTACAGTAATGTATAGTATAGCTGCTTCTTATTACAGCCGACCTTCTCATTTTGCTGATGACTCGTGAACATTCACTTTTCACGTCACGTAGATTACAAGAAAGCCAAAATTATGGCTGTCAAAATTTGGGCCAATTTGTCTACGCGACAAGCCGACCTTTATTCTACCGTCGGATGTTTTTTCTTCTTCTTTCTCTTAAGGTTACTGATTAGAGGTGCTTTTGTGCAGGTGTATTTTCAGCGCGTACTGAGCAGTAAGACAGCGGGGCGCGCGCAGGTGCTGTCGTACGTGGCTGCCGTCGGCTGCATCTTCATGGCCATCCCACCCGTGCTCATCGGCGCCATCGCCAAGGCTACAGGTTACCTCATTTCAAACATTGCAGTTTAAATTTGCTTATATTTCAGGTAACAAGTCATTTGGCTGTTTTTATTATCTGCACGTTTTTCGTAAAGTTAGCGGTGTTATTGAACTTTTTGTACTAGCGTCTACAATACAAAGAGTTTGACTTCAGATAAAAAATACTTTACAAACAAAGAGAAATATGTTCTGTATTTGTCATGTAGCGTGGAATGAGACGGACTACCATGGTGACTTAACGCCGGAAGGCGAGCTGACCCCGGATCAGACCTCAATGATCCTGCCGCTAGTGCTTCAGCACCTCACGCCCGACTTCGTCTCGTTCTTCGGCCTCGGTGCCGTCTCCGCCGCCGTGATGTCCTCCGCTGACTCCAGCGTGCTCAGCGCCTCGTCTATGTTCGCCCGGTAAGTGGGAATTTCAGCTGATACGAGAGTCTAAAGTAATAAATTCAAACAGCGACGTGCTTAGTTTATTAACTAATACCGTTTATTATTAGCTAATAACGTTTTGTCCACAGGAACGTATACAAGCTCATCTTCCGCCAGAACGCATCGGAGATGGAAATCATCTGGGTGATGCGCGTGTCCATTCTCGTGGTGGGTTTCCTCGCTACCCTCATGGCACTTACCATCCCCTCTATCTACGGTCTATGGTGAGTCCTAATTGATTCTAAACTTCCTCGGTTAATTGTGTCGCGGTGTTTGGTCATCACATCTCACCAATATAACTCTTCTCTTTTCTTCTCTAATAGGAACCAGCAACCTTTCTTCCTTAGGACCTATAAAATTCGTACATTATCAAACAAAATCAGTTACACGTAACCTATTGACTATTCCCAACAGGCACCCAGGGCTTTTGTCAATATTGGTTGTATACTCGTGTTCACATTAATTGACAAACATTCCTTTTCAGGTTGTGTCGTACAAGTTTATGTAACTTCTTCTAAACTGTAATACTGACCGTATTTGTTTGTTCTATATAACTTATATAGGTATATATTTGTATATCTTCGCTTATATAAAAACATTTAATTCGCTTCATGTACATGTATATGTACAAGAGAATCTTATATGAATTTTCAGCTGACTATTACAGGATCGGTTTTAATAAGCGAAGCGACAATTGCGAGAGGCGTTCTATAGGAATCGCCGTTAATTGGGCTGTTAGTGTATATTGAATTATTTATGTATGTATATTTTGAATTACCTTTTATATATACCAAAATCTTACGTTGTATTAAATTCTCTATTGCGTCTGCCGTTTGCGGTTCTGATACGGACTATCAAAATACGTAATAATAAACGGAATATTAAATTAAAAAAATCCCCGAGGCAACCCTCGAAACAATAATTGGATATTTAGTTACTTATTATTTGAAGCAGTAGCGATAATATTATTTGAAATATCAAAATTATAAATATGAAGGAGACCTCTAACATGTCAGTTATTTAAAGCGGTCGTGTCAAGATTTCATGAAATACATGTCTACTTATTAGGTAGGTATTTTATGTGTGTAACTGTTACGGTTGACACTGCTGCTGAAACTGATAATTTGAGAGCAAACTCGAAGTTTTGTGTCGCAGATGAAATATAGTAGTTGTGTTAAAAGTTCGGACAAGCAAATCGATCGTAAGCGACCGAGTCATTACAAATTGGGGTTATACGTAAATAAATACCGAACTAGTATATGGTAAATGTGAGGTGAATCATAAAACCACTGAGGCAAGTGACACTCGACCCTGTTCATTTATTCAGAAAGTATTCCCTCGTAGTTATTATAAAATTTTAATTCACAACCAATTCAAAACAATTGTTCATTGAGACGGTATATCTTGGACGGACATACAAAATTATAATAAAATACAATTATTTGTGCAACCCGCGTTGGCTATAGTTGCCAGTGTCAGTGATACAACACTTCTTTTATGAAACTACACAAATAAATCTTCTAATCATCAAGAGCAATAAGAGAAGTCCAAAGTAGAAAAAAATCCAATATGGTCAAGTCACTATAAATAATGGTTTTGAATAATCTGTTGTAAATCGAATGTTGTTGAGTTATAAGATATACTTATAATAAAATAAGAAGAGGAGATCAAAGGAACCAAACAACTCCAAAATCAGATTAAAAAAGGTTCTTTATTAGCGAGTCATCAACGCGTTATCAACGCGCTTATTATCGACTTGAGGCGATTAAGTTTTATCACGGTTGTTAAGCCGATCCGCCGTTGACACGGCTTTTCGAGCATCCGCGTCGTTGCATCATTCAGGCGTAGAAGTCGGTCGTCGAAGCGGCCATTAGGGCGTCGGCGCCGCTATTCAGCCATCATTTCAGATTCGGGGGTATGACTTGTGGTCTCGCACCTTCGGAGTCGTTCAGACTTCGACGCAGCCGTTCGGTCGTCGATGCGGGTATCGACGCTGATGATGGATGGATGAGGCTATGCACGGACGCGACCGGGAGTTCGCAGGAAGCAGGGGCTCTACTAACCACTAAATTAAAAGATGTGTCAAGTATGAAGCCTCATTCGCAACAAGCATCTTTTAATTAGACCCAGTATTGCATATTTCGTGTCCTACGGAGAACGAGAACGCGGACCAGATTCATTGCCGACCGACGTCGAGCCGCGTCTTACGAACCCATGCCGTTGATTACTTTCGTTCTTATTTAATGGACGTTGAGGCTTTTACTGACCAGCTTAACGCGATTCCAAGTCAATGAGTGTGGTGATTCCCTAAAAGTAACTACGAGTAATTTGTAGCGTTACAATAGAAACACTACCAACAGTAGAATCTGTTTCTTTAATCCTTCTCCTCTTTAAAGTGAGGCGCGTTTTCCCACTAAAACTTCGTAACGAACACTCCGCTCTAAGTGTATATACACTTTAGAGTGAAGTAATCATCAGTCGAACAGTAAGTAGCGTACCATATACTCGAGAATAGCTACGTGCGTATATACGTACTCATATACACCCCTGCCTCTCAATGGGTTACGCAGAGATGACGCACCAACCGAGTTAGTATACACTGGCGTTGAATACGGCCATATGATACGGTCAGAGTGTTAACGCACTCAACTAGAATAACAAACATCGTAGGTTAGGCTGATCTTGGTTTGGGCACTGACGTGGGAAAGAGAATGAGGTGTCTTGTGACTAGCTCGTTCAAACAGTAGGTACGCAATTCAAATTGCGAAGCAAAATACAGGTATTACAATACATGCATTCCTCACTCTTTTCCTATCGGGGTAGGCACAAGCACAGCCTTTCACTTGCTGCGATCTTAACACGTCTTTCATACACGTTTGTCAGTTAAGGCTACTTTTGATATAGCCCTTCTTTGGGATGTTTTCGCCTTAGTCGGTAGTAAAATAACATTATATGTCCCTCGGGTCTGCTCTTAAGAGACAGTCTAGGCCATTGTCTGCCATTGTAGCGCTATGCGAGGTGCAATCTTCACAAGATTTCCAACATTGTGGATCTTCTTCAACGTGTGAGAGATATTGCAACCAAATATGCACAAATGTACATTACTTGCAAACAAAAGTCATAGGCACATACTGCCACAGGGACTCGAGCTCGACCTCTCGATTGAGAAGCAAACAGTTTTCCACTAGGCTACCACTGCCGCCTAATAATAGATATGTATAGTACATTATAACAAAGGCCGGGAAGTTAGGGATTGCCGGACAAGTGTGGGTTACAAGGTCGAGCGCCTGCGGGTCGTTGTATTATATGAGTCAGGCAAACCCTGTTCCGACTGAGGTACACACATATAGGTATAGCTTTTCTCAAACAATGCGAGGAAATAAAAAAAGACTAAAGAATGGAGAAGATGTAGAACAGAAAAAGTAAAAAAAGATTTAATTGTTTGTTAGGACGATTTGCTGTAAGTAAAGATTATTTTTTGTCGAGGCACATTGTAGCATTATACAAAAAATATAAAGTACAAAAAAGAACCCCAAAGCACTTTTATTTCTTTTACCACGCTTTTGCTTTTTCTAAAGTATGTGGTATAAATCTATTCAAGAACCACGCAAAAATAGTATGTAATACTATAGACAATTTTAGTTTTTTTTAAATTTTCGTCAGTTGGCTGTATGAAAGTTTTTTACAATCATACATAGTTCATTATAAGTAGATAGACTAAAATGCTTAGAGCAGCGGACAGAAATGGAATAAATATGTTTATTCTAACTTTCCTGGACTAGGTCAGCTAAAAGTTTTATACTTTATAAACGACAAATTGAGTATATTTTTAAATGATACAAATATTTCCGACCCTATTTAAGAAATAAATACTTGCTGTAGCTCTCTGGTACTCTGGTATAGACATGTGGTAGACTAACGATGCTAACGCTATCTCACAACCCTTAAGCATAGTTATTGTATTCACAGATGTAACAGTCCATTGCTTTGAATTTACTATTATTTATTTTCTCTTAGCAACATTCATGTCACCGTATCGTATCCAGTAATTGTATCGAGCTGCACATGTGTTGTGGTTCAGGCGATGAATCTCCGAAGCAGTGAAACAACACACGCATTTCAGTAACTTAAATTACTTGAACAATCGATCAGTTACTAACAACAAGTTATAACTTAGACGAAGTAACTTCCTCATTATAATCCATATTTTTTTACGACCTCTATACTGTGGATGAGGAGGTTGCGGGTTTTATTTCCGGAGGGACCAAATTGGGAGGTTTCTAAAAAGATTCTGGTCTAGGTGTTCTGGTACGCAGCCCAGAGTGAAATACGTTGCTCTGACACTCGTAGTACAGGGAATTTCCTTGTTTGAGACCAGGTAATTAATTGCTGCGGATGCCCGGTTAAAAACCTCTAAGGAGAGGATCATGGTTAACCACGCTGATCTAATTCAGGTTGGAATTCACCCGTTTTCCAAGTGTTATGAACCGCTTTCGTGAGAGTTTTTTTTTGTTAGAGAGAGTATATTAGCGAAAGCTTCCATTTATATGACCAATGGCTATGGAGTGGAATTCTTTGTCTGCGGACTTATTCCCCGAACGCTATAATTTGGGCCTTTTCAAGGCGAGAGTGAATAGGCATTATTTAAGTGTGCATGCTCCATCGTCGACCTCATCATCACTTCCATCATGTGAGATCAAATGGGCACTTTTTTTTTTTTTTATATAAAAAAACTTATAAATGGTAGCCAAACGTGGATCGCAGGGATCGAACATTCGATTTCTCAATTAGATGCAATAGTACTCGTATTCAGCCTTCGCCATCGACAACCTTCTATTCATCAGCATTTCGCTTTTTAACATAGACATCATCTTTGAATACAGAACTATTTGTGCTATAAAACAAAAAACATAGATGATCTCTTGTTACGATTAATATATTTTTAATGATATTTAGTGCAGTGCCACTTTTAGTTGCGTAGTAGAGTAGAGCTCCTTGTGAAGGAGTACTGTCACCTTACCTATTTCTATCGCCAAGCGATAATGTGAACATTACTGTTTTCCGGTTTTGAAGGGTAAGGGTGCTAGTGAAATTACAGGTACATGGGACTTGTTAACCTATGTCTCAGGGTGACATGCGCAGTGGCAGGGCCCTTCAGATCTTTGCGATTTAAAGCTCTGAGTGGCACTGCTACTGTTATGGCGTGTAGCTTACCACCAGGCGC